GAGAAAACAAATTCTATTTGGATATTTGATCTCTCTTGGTTTATAAAATTTTATGTCGACTCTTCTGATGTAGTTCCACAGGTCTTACTGGGTTTGTACCTCAAATTCGGTAACTGCATATCAATGTTTGGTTTCATTTATAATTAAATTTTTTAATTTATTTACATTTTTATTTTTGTATTTCAGAGTTCCTTGGAAGGACCCTTTGTTAATCTTGCTGGTCAGGTTATTGGATTGCAATTTCGTTCATATGGAAAACCTTACTTTGGACAATATATCGCTCAACAAGGATTTGGATTCACAATTCCGATTGATTGTGTTCGTGAATACCTTAATAGGTTTTACGCAAAAACATGTAAGGCCTCATGTTGATTCTTCTGATGTGTTTTGGATAATTTAGCTAAATGGAAGTAGAATCACAAAGAGAAATAGTTTAATTATCAAAGCTACTAACTGATGCATAATGATTAGTTGCAGCTGCCAAGAAAGCTAAACTGGCGCTGTCTACCTTAGGAGGTGGTAGACTTTCTCTGTCTTTCTCTTATTTTGCATGTCTTTGGATATTATTCATTTTAGATTTTACAATCATATTAAATGATGCATAATTAATAAGTTTCAGGTTCGCAGAGTGATGATATCAAAAAGCTCTGAGTCCCAGGGAGATGATTTTAAAAAGCTCCATTCTTCTTAGGGACAATGACATTTTAGGATGCTCCACTATATGATTAATCATTGTTCATAATGTGCACACCACACTAATATTTTCATACATAAAAATGCATTAATATATAGAGTCGCATATACAAATCGAATAACCTAAATGTTCTTAGCTTTTCTTGAAATGCCTTATTGCAGACATATTTACAATGTCATTTTTACCATTTTTCAGAAATTGTACTTGAAAATGAGTTATTAAAAATTTTGGTAGAGAAAACAAATTCTATCTTGTAATTATGAATTTTAAGCATGACAAAATTAAAAAAATGGAATTTTCAGTGAAGCTGCCGCGAACGTCGCACGTGACAAAAACAGGCACAAAATTATCAAAGTTACCACGTTTATTAAGCAAAGACGATTAAGCCAAAAAAAAAAAAACGCATCAGTCTCATCAGAATCCGGAACCTGGATCAGATCTGTTCGGGTCGGGTCATATCGGATTAGTAGCTGATCGGAAAACCGGCAACATAATGGCGGCGGCGAGACGATTACGGACGCTCCAATCTCAGCCGGAGAACAAGGTCTGTGTCGATTGCTCCCAGAAGAATCCACAATGGGCATCGGTTTCATATGGAATCTTCATGTGCTTGGAGTGCTCCGGTAAGCACCGTGGCTTAGGTGTTCACATCTCCTTCGTCAGATCCGTCACCATGGATTCATGGTCTGAGATCCAGATCAAGAAAATGGACGCCGGAGGCAACGAGCGTCTCAACAAATTTCTCGCTCAGTACGGGATCTCTAAAGAGACCGATATCATCTCCAAGTACAATTCCAACGCTGCGTCTGTGTATCGAGATCGGATCCAAGCTTTAGCTGAGGGAAGACAATGGAGAGATCCGCCGATTGTTAAGGAGTCGGTTGGTGGTGGAGGGATGATTAAGAAGCCTCCGTTGTCTCAAGGCGGTGGTAGAGATTCTGGTAATGGTGGATGGGATAATTGGGATAACGATGATTCGTTCAGATCTACGGATATGAGACGGAATCAATCGGCGAGTGATTTTAGGTCATCGGGAAGTCGGGGTGCTCCGGCGAAGTCGAAATCGTCGGAGGATATATATTCTCGGTCTCAGCTGGAGGCTTCGGCGGCGAATAAGGAGAGTTTCTTTGCGAAGAGGATGGCTGAGAATGAGTCTAAGCCTGAGGGACTTCCTCCTTCACAAGGTGGTAAGTATGTTGGGTTTGGATCTAGTCCTGGTCCAGCTCCGAGAAGCAATCAACAGAGTGGTGGTGGTGATGTTTTCTCTGTTATGTCTGAGGTAAAGTTGGATGCTTTTTGAGAGTGATTTGATTTTAATGATGTGTGGCTTCTCTGTTTATATGTAAATGATTGTGATTGTGTTTGCTTTTACGCGTACAGGGTTTTGGAAGATTGTCTCTTGTTGCTGCATCAGCTGCGAATGTTGTTCAGACTGGAACCATGGAGTTTACTTCCAAGGTACTTCTTTTATCCTTCTGCTTTGATTTTGTCCTTGATTTCTTTGGATCGTAATTAGTAAGCTCACTTCTTAGTAACAATCTGTAGTCTAGTTATCTCATTTCAGTGTTCAGTTTATATTGAGATCGTGACTATTCGCTTGGTGTCTGTCTAGTTACCGCTATGCTCAATGCTCTGTTTGTTAGGTTATCCCATTTTTGACATTATTATGTAGCACAAAATTAGAGTCTTTTCTAGCTACATAATCTTTCTTAAATTGCAGTGTTGATGCTCATTGCGTTTTATCTTTATGCCTCTGCATAATCTCTTCTGAGATCCTCTGAACAGAGCATAATGCCGGATGCTCACTATGCATTTCCTTCTTTTCAAATACTGAACATTAGAAATTATAGACTCTTGGATTTTGAAGACAAGTGAGATTATAAACCATTGTTCATTGTGCAGGTCAAAGAAGGTGGCTTAGATCACACTGTCAGTGAGACAGTTAATGTTGTTGCGAGTAAGACAACAGAGATAGGACAGAGGACATGGGGGATCATGAAAGGAGTAATGGCAATTGCCTCACAAAAGGTTGAAGAGTTCACTAAAGAAGAAGCATCAACTTGGAATCAACAGAATAAAACTGAGGGCAACGGTTACTACCAGAACTCTGGGATTGGAAACAAAACAGCAAATTCATCTTTTGGAGGGTCACAATCATCATCAAGTGGTCACAACAACAGTTATCGTAACTCGAATTCTTGGGATGACTGGGGAGAAGAGAACAATACCAAAAAGGAAGGAGCACCAAAGGTGTCGACTTCTAATGATGATGACGACGGCGGTTGGGCTGGTTGGGATGATAATGATGCTAAAGATGATGATTTCTATTATCAGAGTGCAAGCGATAAGAAATCTGTAGGTCACAATGGGAAATCAGACACTGCTTGGACCGGTGGAGGTTTTCTCTAGCGGTAAGCACCAAATAAAGTAAAACTAATCGAACATGTAAATGTCGATACAATCGCCATAACACTATTCTCTAAACGCAGGTGTTACAGGATAGTGGTGAATGAAGTTGTACAATTAAGGAAATGCAGAGCCTTGTGGTCTTCTCGTGCTCTGTCACAAGAGAGAGCAGAGTGGTCATCTCAACCATTAAAGCCATCACAGGTCCTTCTTTTCACATATCAATTGCTTGGCGTTCAATCAACTCGATCGTCATTATTTGTTCTTCTACAATATATAGTTTCATTTATATTTGTACAAGCTTCACAGTCACAGAGGACTGCTTACTAAACTATTCGGGTTAGTCTTCAGCTCTTTTTTTGAGATTCAAACTTCTTATTTTTCTTGAAATCTGTAATGACCACAAAAACAAATTTTCCTTTTTATTGTCTTCTTTCTTTTTGTCCGGTTGCTGTCGTTTCTTAGTTCACATAATTTCTAATTTTCGGAACTGATAAAAAAAGTTTACAGGGATCTGATCGGATTACGGATTTACATATTCAGAATGAATTTTCAATAGGTCAAAAAGAAAATGGGTTAACGTTTTTCTCAGCTTATTTCATACGAAAATTTCTTCAATACCTCAGGAAAATAAGTAGATAAACAGAGGTTTTTTGCCCGAAAATGGTGGTGTTAAGCCGAGATAAAACAGTATGGAAGAAAAATACTATGACTTTACACTTACTAAATCTCTTTAGAATGTTGAAAGTTTGAAACTTAAGGCTAAGCTTGCTTAACGTATAGGGCACGATGCAACTTGGTTTGTGAATTCATGTCATTTTTTCATTTCGCGTCTCATTTCATGTTTGTATTTTAATTATAGCAAAGAGAAGTTGGTCAATGAAGGATGACAGAGAGAGCATGTCTCTCTCACGTTTTATGTTCTATCGTACAAACCGGGCCAGTTCACACTTCCCATTCAATAATCCGACATCCTGAACCGGGCCAAGTAAACTCTTAAAATACACACTAAAAGACCAAGCAATCCATTGAATTCAATCGATGGAAAGATTAAAAAGACAAAGATTTGTACCAATCTAATCAATTCTCTTAATCATAAAATCACGAATTATCTAATGTATTTACCAACTCAAAGTTTTTTTTTTTCTTTCGGCAAGATATATAATTATATATCAACATCAAAGGAAAATACCTTAGCCATTATCAAGATTCAAGATCATATGAATTCCTAGAAAATGACGTTTATATTTTTTGTTTGGTTAATGAAAGAATCAAAGAACTAGAAATGTTGGTTTCCATTTGCAATCTACAATAATTCCATTTCTTTGGTTATTCTTGAATTTCTTTTTTGATGATTTACTTGTCAATCTTTCATTTTTATAACAAGATCAGCTTCATAATATGATGTCTTCGCTATGACAATATCATAAGTTCGCAGTAAGCCACCAAACATATCTAACATATTATATAAATACGTTATGTTAAATTTATAATAAAGAAAATTCGCCCCTCTCATAATCTGGCATCTACGACGAAACTAGATGAGCTAGTGATGGAGTTAATAAGAAGAATCTAATTTGTGGCGACCCATGAAGTTAGACAAGGATGCAAAGGCAAAGAGAAATAAATAATTAATTGTAGTATATATAAGTCTGGTATTGAAATCGATATTTATGAATTTTTAGTAAATCTAGTGTTATTATTTATTGGTTTGATAACTTTCGAATTTTATTCACAATTTTTTTTGTAGTATTCTACTAATCTAATTTTATTAGTTATAAAAGTCTCTTTAAGATTAAAAGATTACAATTGGTATAATATAATCCCTTGTACATTTTAATTTCTAGTATGTCTTTAAGAGTATAAACTATAAAAGTCTCTAAAAGTTTAACAAATCTATATAGTCAACTTTATTTGATAAATCATTGTCCAAATAATCCCTCTTAAAGTAAAATACAAAATATAAGATTTCTATGGATGGATCTTTACTATATTAGTAGTAACTTTCTTCTCTAGTCATTCAACAAAAATCTAAACATTAATTATAATTAGCTGTCATATAAAAAACTTAATTAATTGACTACCTGTCAACAGCAAACTCTCTACTCACGCGTGAGCCTATTTAAAGCCACACAGTTTTCTTCTTCGTTACCATCCATCCAATTGTAAAACTCTCTCTCTCTCTATTTCTTCTCCATTCTTGTTCATCTGCAACATTTTTTAGGGTTTAATATTGTTGGTTTCTTCATTTTCTTTTATCTAAAATATTTGCAGAGGAAAAGAGAGAGAGAGAGAGATCATGGGACTATATGGAGTGATGACAGGGAAAAAAGGAAAGAGTGGATTTGGATCTGCTTCTACTGCTGAAGATGTTACTCACTCCATTGATGCAAGTCATCTCACTGCCATCATCACAGGTTCTTTCATTTTTCCTTTTCCTTCTGATATTTTCTTGCAAATTCATGTAAAAAAAAAAAACAAAGCAAATCTAATATTGCCAAACAAATTTATTTTACGTTTTGTCGTCGTGGAACATAGTTGAAAAAAATACTAAATAACACTATAAAATTAGAGTCAAATTTACTTTAAATTCAATGAATGCAAGATAAAATGTTTTGATGGTGGAAGAAAAGTCAAACGTTTAAGATTAAGCTAATGTTGGGATTTTGAGGCAAACAAATAATTAAAGGGGATTTTGTTTTTGTATTTCAAATTGTCAGTCATTCAAACACCAAATATTTTGTTTCTTTTTTGTCATGACCGATTCTTTGTCCATAAACCAAAATATTCTTAGTTCTGTATCTTCTCTCTAACTAATTAAAGACTAAGATAGTAGATCAAAATTAAACACCCATATGAATGTTGTTACCAAAGTTATTTTATTAAAAATGAAAGCTAGTATATTTTATATTTGTCAAATATGTTAAACTAATAAAATGTAACTATACAAGATATATGACATAAATTTGGTTTGGTAGTAGTTTTAATTGGTACTATAACTTTTTATCTACTTCAATTTTTGTTTGAACAAAAAAAAGGTGGAACAAGTGGGATTGGATTGGAGGCAGCAAGAGTGTTAGCAATGAGAGGAGCTCATGTCATCATTGCCGCAAGAAACCCAAAAGCTGCTAATGAGTCCAAAGAGATGATTCTTCAGATGAACCCTAATGCTCGCGTAGAGTATATCCAGCTCGATGTCTCGTCCATCAAATCAGTCAGATCCTTCGTCGATCAGTTTCTTGCCCTTAATGTTCCTCTCAACATACTCATGTACGTATGAATATTATTACTTGTTGATTTTTATTCTCTTTTCTTTTGCAGCGATTAAGAGTTAATTAATGTTAACTTGTTGTGTCTTTGAAATGTTAGAAACAATGCAGGTGTTATGTTTTGTCCTTTCAAGCTCAGTGAAGATGGGATTGAATCACAATTCGCAACAAACCACATTGGTAAGATTTTATTAATAGTGTTTCCTTGTCAGTATCGAAATACACAATATTCGTTATCAAAACATCATGTTGTGACATGAATTATAAAGAAATATACTAACGTCAATATAATAAACCCTTTTTTTTTAATATAACATTACGTGAGTTAATCTATATCAATAATATAATGATCGTCCAGGTCATTTTCTGTTGACGAATCTGCTTCTGGACAAAATGAAGAGTACCGCAAGAGAAAGTGGAGTCCAAGGAAGGATTGTGAATTTGTCATCTATTGCTCATACTTATACTTACCCTGAAGGTATCAAGTTCCAAGGCATCAATGACCCTGATGGGTAAGTTTTATAATTCAATTTAAACTATTGAACTTTGATATATTAAAGTTTTTAACTAGTGTAAAAACTAATTCTATACAATTATTTAGATATTCGGAGAGAAGGGCTTATGGGCAGTCCAAACTCTCAAACTTGTTGCACTCCAATGCACTCTCTCGCAGACTACAGGTAATATATTATTTACACACATACACATTGATATACTTTAAAGTTCGATACCATAAAATGATGAATATATGTAACTAAATTAATATGATTTTGGGATGTAGGAAGAAGGTGTGAACATCACTATAAATTCAGTGCACCCTGGACTTGTCACCACTAATCTCTTTCGCCACTCCGGTTTTAGCATGAGTACGTATACCAATTCTCTAATCTTCATTCAAACACTAAATTTTTTAATCTTTTCTTTTCTTAAATATCATTTACATGTACTATATTCAGAGGTCTTCAAGGCTATGACTTTCCTCTTGTGGAAAAATATACCTCAGGTGAATTTAATTAAAACCATTTTTCATTTGTTTTGAAAGAATTTTCTCTTATGAGATTTTAGTTTTTATTTACAAATATTATTCTTTTGGGGGCATTATCAGGGAGCAGCAACAACATGCTACGTTGCACTTCATCCTGATCTCAAAGGCGTCACCGGAAAGTATTTCGGCGACTGTAACATCGTTACTCCGAGCAAATTTGCTACCAACAATTCTCTCGCCGATAAACTTTGGGATTTCAGTGTCAAACTCATCGATTCTGTCTCTAAATAAATTTATCATCATCATCAAGATAAATTCTTAGACATTCAAAATTTATCCTTCTTGCTATTGTTACATTAATGCCATATCTTTTTCATCATCACTACATATTTCTTTATGGAATACCATAATTAGAAATCATTCTCCATTTTTTTTCTTGAATAAAATTATCTAACACAAATTTTTGTGTAAGAAAGTAATTTTCTTCATCTACTAATCTATTTATATATCTCCAAATGAAATTAACAAAGTGTACACCATTACAAGGTTATAACATAACAAGATTTAATGGGCCTAAATTAATGGGCTTCTTCAGCCTCCCAAAGGCCCATAGTTCGAACGACGACGGCGGAAAGAGCCACAACAATTGCTGCAAAAACCGGTGGCACAACGAGGTCCATCTTCGACCTCCGGAAAAGATTCGCCGGTAAACACAACACCTCCGTAGGAAGATCCAACGGCACCAAAACGCTTGAATAAGAACCGCACCGCCGAGAGAACTCCACCGAAGAAGAAGAAGACGACGGGAAAATCGCCGACACGAAAGCGAATTCCGGTGCGAGAGAGATGATCGCCACCGTCATCGTCAGAAACAACGTCCACGTTGCGCCGTAGACGAAAATCGGAATCCGCCATGCGAAGCGGTGAGTCAGAGATGAGACTAGATGGCGAATCATTGGTTTAAAGTTTTTAAAACGTTTCTACTTTCTCTTTATCGATTTATAGGTCCATCGATCGTAAATAGTTGTGCCATAGAAATTGGAGTAGCTTCTTTGAAGAAGAGAAGTAGAAAGAGAAGATAACCTAATCTCTCACCTGCTCTTGGTGACGAACGAGGAAAAGTGAAACGACCAAATTTATCGTCGTTTTGATGTCGTCATCCACTTTTTCTGATATATTGATTCTGATTTTGCATCAAGCTAAAGTATCAAAATCATGACTACTTGAGAGTTGATAATACAACTTTGCATATATATTGGTAGCTACTAGCTAGACGCAATTTCGTAATTTATCCTCCAATGTAGTTTGCGGAGACTAATATTCAATTTTTTTTGGGTATATTCCCTAGTGATAGATTATGCACATTTAGGACAAAATTAGTTGTCGGAATTACTAATTAGAGATGAGAGCTACCAAGTTTGTAGTAAGACCTCCATTGGTTCAGACACCACTTTATGCTGGTCGATTGTTTGTGAGGGTAATTTTTTTTTTTTTTTTAAATGGGTTAATATTTTGAAAAAATCTAAAACTAAAGATAAATATTTGGATGGTGAGAAAATTTAGAAATGATTTTAACTTTCATGTAGTGTTGTTAAAATACAAAAGTATGATTATAGAAAATATGATTTTTTTCAAGTTTATGAGAAAAACTGACGTCTTTATAACCTTTAAAGCTATGGATATTGTATATGAAAATATTTAAATCAAAGATTTTTCAATTAAAGTAAATTGTTAAAAAAATAAAAATGTCTCATTAATATTTTTACAAGTATTTTTATTGGTCTACGTGACAACGTTACTTACGCTAGCGGATACGAACAAAATTTTGTAAACGTTTTTTAAATTTCAAATCTTTACATATTTAAAACCAATAAACTCTATTCGAATGAAGCTAGTAATCCTTTTATTACTACTTTTTGTAATGAATATTGTATAGTAATTTAATAAGCATTCAAAAATACAATTGATGTTATATTTTCTATAATAACTATCAAAAGAATCCTAAATTCTATAGGCTCCGACACCTTTCCAATTAAAATCCAGATTCCAGAGAATGCTTAATATATACAGTAATTGGTAATACCAATGGTAATGTTTAGTTTTTTTTTTTTTTTTTTTGGTCAGGGTGGTAATGTTTAGTAAGTTCTTAAAAATATACGAAATTGTTTTAGATGAATGGTAAACACTACTCAAGATTTTGTTTTTTTTTTTTGTCATGGCTACTTAAGATTGAATCGTTTTAATTATAAAAGCTGCTAGACAAAAATAAAAAAACATCTTACTCAAATGGTCCCACATGTACACGTGGATGTTCACCAAGTAATGAAAGAGCAACTGAAATGATTTGTTCTAGTACCTTCCTTCCAAATCAGCAACTGCCACGATTTTCTTTCCTTTTTCTTTTCATTTACATAGCCACCCCAAACGTTTTAACTTAATTCTCAAATAATATCTATACTCTTAATTCTCTACTATTCCCCCTCGACACTACAATACAAAACAAACCCAATTTTACTCTCATAATTTTCTATGACCGACTTAAAACTGATATTTAATATCACAAAATTATACATAGAAATTATCATCTCAGCAAAAAAGAATAATATAAAATTACTCGAATCAACATTTTTCTTCTAAAAGTAGATTGAATTGCAATTGACTAAAACATAAAAGAATCCGATCAAAATGTAACATTTAAAACTATAAGGGACAGTTTTGTATTTTCTTTTAACTCGGATACTATTTTCCTTATTTTATCTCCTAATTACTATTTTTTCTCTTAAAATTACAAAAATATCTGTTTTTCTGTTTTTTTTTTCTTTTTCATATCTCTCTCTCTGTGTCTTTGCTTTGAAAAGTAATCTGGACCGCGAACAAAGCTTTTTCGTTTTCTGGTTCGTTGCCGCCTTGCACGTTCCTTCTTCTTCCTTCTCTCTCCCGTCTTATCTCTTTTCCCTTTACCCTAACCCTAATTTTCTTCGCCGTCCTCTCTTATCCAATTTCGTTCCCATATTCGAAAAATCTCTTAGCTTTATCTCCAGATCTTTAGATCCGTAATTCCCTACTATTGATTCTACCCAAACTTTTACTCTTATCTTCCTCGTATGAATTGTTTCTTCGTAAATTCATCGTCTTTCGATTGAATTGGAGTCATAAATCAATTGGATTCAGATCTAACTCAAGTTAGTGTTAAGTGTTGTTTCTATTGGATGCAATCGTGTGATATTGAATACATCTCTGATGGGAGAAGGAACTATTTGTTTGGAGATGCCAAAGGAAGAGAATTCATCAATGGGTCAATTCAAAAGAGAGAGACTTGATGATGATACTGATGAAAGTAATAAAGGTGATCACTTTCCCAATAAGAAACAAGCTAAAGAAGCTTCTAACGATGACATTACATCGGAGATTTCAAATCCCGTCGCGTCTCCGGTTGAAAGCACGTCACTTTTTCGTGATGTCTCTAGCCAGCCGGTTAAGTCCGGTTTAGGTGAGTGCTCCGTGAGTGATTTTGGTTCCGAAGAGACTGTTAGTGACGATGCATCCGTAGCAGGTAGCTCACAAACAGAGCAGTCGAGTGATGTTTTACCATCTCGTTTTGTGTTGGAGATTCCTAAGCATCTAAGCTCGACTGGGATCACGAAAATCACGTTTAAGTTGAGTAAACCAAAGAAGGAATTTGATGATTTGCCTGTGATAAAGGATCATACTTGTGACGTTGGTGTTGTGAAGATGCCGAAGAAGATTGTTGCTTTGAGCTACCCATCTAATGTGAAGAAGCTATTGGAAACGGGTATACTTGAAGGCGCTCCAGTGAAGTATATTTCAACCCCACCTGTGGTAAAGTCTGAATCTTTGTGTTTCGATATTTTCCTTTATGGTATTTTGTATGTGACTTATATCAATTTTGATGTCTATCAGAGAGAGCTTCAGGGGATAATCCATTCGGGTGGGTATTTGTGTGGCTGTACCACTTGCAGTTTCTCGAAAGTGAGTTTTTTTTTGCGATGGTTTTCTTGTTTCTATGACGATTTGTTCTGTGTGTTTTTAACGATGTGATCTTTTGTTATGTATAAAGGTTCTAAGTGCGTATGAGTTTGAGCAGCATGCTGGTGCAAAAACTAGACATCCTAATAATCACATATTTTTGGAGAATGGAAGGGCAGTTTATAACATAGTTCAAGAACTGAAGACTGCTCCTCGTGATGTTCTTGAGGAAGTGATAAGGAGTGTAGCTGGTTCTGCTCTGAATGAGGAAGGCTTACAAGCTTGGAAAGGTGATGGCCAGGTGTTTAGATTGTTGGTGGATTTATGTTGCTTACCGTAGATTTTCTTTTGCAATCATTTGCTTTTTGATTAGTAGTGCTGAGCTTGATATGTTGTTGTTTCCTGCAGCAAGTTTCCAACAGAGTAATAGCATGTCTGACCGGAACCATATCACGGAACATTCCACTGTCAGGTACTATCACCTCCTACTTCTGGTTTAGTACTTGATCTGTAATTGGGGATTTTATTTGAGATGATACTCAGTGATATACTTGGACCCTGTAGTGACGTACCTTTTCCGTTTCATATAACTTTTGGTTAATGCGCTCTAAGTTACCATTTTGTGTTACTATCTGAAACTGATTCCTGTGAAAGCTGCAGTTATCTTGGTTCTGGTACTGGTCCTGGTGTTGATGAGAGTCAGAGCCTTACTCCATGCTCTGTGGAGAACCATTATTTTCCAGAGAAAACATATGCAAAGGACACATTAGATGAGCCGAAGCGGATAGCAAAGAAGTATGCGTCTTTGATATTTTCATATACAAATCCATTACTGTAGTAATCTATATGTTACTTATGGTCCTTATGGACAATAATCTATGGAACTATGGAAATTTATTTGGTCGCTAATCCTGTAGGCTTACTTCTCATGTATCTGGTACGGGTTGCCATAAGAAAGTTTCTGAAGGAAGCAACAGAAAGAGGTTTGTGTTGCTTTTTTTTGATCAACCTCATCACTTGTGTTTTTCTGTTTGCATTTGAATCTCTAATTGCTATCTGATATTGATGAAAAGATACAATCCTCTGTTTCTAGGGACAATGATTTACATCGGTTGCTGTTTATGCCTAATGGGCTTCCGGACGGGACTGAATTGGCTTACTATGTGAAAACGCAGGTTTGTTATTGCAGACAAATAACTATTTCTGCTTATTTTTCCTGAAATTTGAATCGAACTTCAGTTTTGTAAACATATTTTCCCCTGCAGAAACTACTACATGGTTACAAGCAAGGAAGTGGTATAGTATGTAGCTGCTGCAGCAGAGAGGTAAATGGTGTATGTAGTGGCTATGTTGATTGTCCACAGACTCAGTTTAAACTTCAGATATAGTTACTTATTTTTACTTTTCTTTTTTCTTTTGTATTTATATACGATAGATTAGTCCTTCACAATTCGAAGCGCATGCTGGAATGGCTGCTAGACGACAACCGTGAGTTATCCAATAATATGTTATTTTTACTTAATGTTGGAATGCATATCTAAATTTTTGGTATCTTTTGCAGTTATCGCCATATCTTCATCTCTTCTGGATTGTCATTGCATGATATAGCCATGTCACTTGCCAATGGACATGTCATTACAACTGGTGACAGTGATGACATGTGTTCTATTTGTGGGGATGGTGGAGATTTGGTACTTTGTGCTGGATGTCCTCAAGCATTTCATACAGGTAGGTGTGGAATACTGATGGAGAATTGTACTCTTGCCCGTGTACTCGACTATATTAAACATGCAATTTCTAGGTTTCAAACTGAAAGTTGCTGAAGTACAGATTTCATAATGGTTTCCTCAATCATTAAGCTCTCGTATTAGTCTCTGGTTCTGATCCTTCGTTTCTCTTTTCATATGCAGCTTGTTTGAAATTTCAGTCTGTGCCTGAAGGTACTTGGTACTGTTCGAGCTGCAATGATGGACCTATCTCTAGTAAAAAGGCTACTGCTACTGATCCTTCTGGCAACGCTAGGCCCATAGTTATAAGACTGTCAAGAGTCGTGAAAGCACCAGAAAGCGAAATTGGTGGCTGTGTGTTCTGCAGGTTAGTTGCATTTGCATACCTATATTCAAATTTCTCGTATGGATTTTAACAGTTGTGAAATATGTAAATACATGTGCAAGCCACTGCAATAGGCAATTTTGATTACTGTGCATGATGTGCTTATTGTGTTTCACTCTCTTTTTATGGTTGCTAGGTCCCATGATTTTAGCATTGGAAAATTTGATGATAGGACTGTTATTCTCTGTGACCAGGTACCCTCATGATTCATAATCTCTTTTATTCATTTCTTCCATATTACCAGTTCAGCCTTTTCTGATAGTCCTCTTCTTCTTTTCTTTTGTAGTGTGAGAAAGAGTACCATGTTGGTTGCTTGAGAGAGAATGGGCTCTGTGATTTGAAAGTAAGTTGTCTAAGGCTGGCTCCTTCTGCATCGTTTTAACAGAACTTTATTGAACTTCTCTCTTGAATGCTGTAGGAAATCCCGCAGGAGAAATGGTTCTGCTGTAGCGACTGCAGCAGGATTCACACGGCAGTTCAGAATTCTGTTTCTTGTGGGGCACAAACTATTCCTACACCTTTGTTAGACATGATATGCAGAAAAGACAGAGAAAAAGGAATATTTACCGATAATGGGGATACAGTCGAATGGAGAATACTTAGTGGAAAAAGTCGATACCCAGAGCATCTGCCCTTGCTTTCACGAGCGGCTGTAATCTTCAGGGTATGTCTTGACTTCAGATGTGTTCCAATTATCTTTTGATTTTATCACTTGTTAAAGATGTGCTCTCGGGCTATATCTTGCGTCACTTTCTCGCAGTTAACTATGACCTTCTTAAATTATGTATACCAAACTTGCACCCTGCACCCTAATTATTACCTGTCTAATCTTCTAGGAGTGTTTTGATCCCATTGTTGCAAAGTCTGGCCGCGATCTCATTCCTGTCATGGTGTATGGGTAAGTTATGACGCGATAAACTATGATACAATAGCTATGTTTTTGTAGTGTTGATTCGCCATGTAATTCTTAAGATATATTTGCAGGAGAAATATATCTGGCCAGGAGTTTGGAGGAATGTACTGTTTGGTCCTGATTGTAAAGTATGTTCTCTTTTTCTTTATTACTGATTTTTCTCTTATACCACTTCTGTGTCTTTTATGCTAATTGTTTCATCTTCTCATGATGTTACCTTTAGTTCTCTTGTTGTTTCTGCTGCGCTGCTGAGGATATTTGGTCAGCAAGTTGCTGAACTTCCTATTGTAGCCACTAGCCGAGAGTACCAAGGAAGGGTAAGACTTGTTTACATGTCTTGTTTTTCATAATATCTCGGCGTTTTTTCTAACCTATGGATTAAAATAGTTTTATGATGTGAATGGTCACTAGGGCTACTTCCAAGGGCTGTATGCTTGTGTAGAGAATCTTCTTTCTTCTTTAAATGTTGAGAACCTGGTTCTTCCGGCAGCTGAAGAAGCAGAGTCTATATGGACAAAGAAGTTTGGCTTTACAAAGATGTCTGACCAGCAAGTAAGTGAATTGGTCTTTCTTTTGGAATTGTGTTTTGTTAGATCTTTAGTATTCAGACAAGTCGGGGAAAACAAATAGTTTCGATAGATTCATGCATATAGATTTTGATTAAGAAGCAAGTTGTGGTAACAAGCAATTATAATGGTGTTTTTTTGCAGTTGCAGGAGTACCAAAAGGAAGTGCAGCTTACAATATTCAAAGGAACCTCAATGCTAGAGAAGAAAGTACCTAAGACGACGAGTTTATCAGAATCAACAACTCTCATCTCATCTGATCATTAAAAGATTCGTCAAGATTTTGGTGTCCGGATCTTTCCTCTTCTTTGTTTTTTGTTTTCTGGAAGATGCAGCAGTTTTTTGGTAACTTTTTTTGTAATATTTTGTTTCTTTTTTTGAATATAGATAGTAGGTTTACAAAGAAGTCCCAGAACAGTTCCATGTTTTTGTATAGAGACCAAACAGAAGAATAAACAGATACATAGAAATAGGTATAAACAGGTTCTTGGGGGTAGTTATCAACCAGAAAATAATCATTTTCAGTCTTATTGAAAAGTATTATTTTGTTTTCTAAAAAGTTTGTGGAAATGTTAAGATTTGGATGAAGATAACAATCTAAACTTCAATTATGTTTCCCTTGAAATAATCTTATACTTGAATTACATACAATGATACAATATATCATTTCTTTTATGTTGTTTACCTGTTAAAAACAGAGGAAACGGCGACGTTTCGATCTCAAATCCTTTGTCCCACTTGCTAAAATGGCGTTCGTTTCCAGCTTTCGCCGTCTCGTTGCCGGATCCAACAGCCTCTTGTATTCTCCATTTTTCTTTGTTCGCCACTGCTCAACTCTTACGTCTCCCAGGCTCTTCGTTAGCGGTAATTTCTTTCTTCAACTTTTTTTTTTTATCTTCTTTTGGAATTTTGCTATAGATGATGTCGATTTGCAAGCTTGGATTTTGGTCATGTTCCCTTATAGATGATAAAGTGTTATGTTTTGTGGACCATTTTGAGAAATGATCTCCTACTTCTTCAGTATTAGCGATAAGTGTAACATGTTATGTTTTGTTGATCAATGTTGACCATTTTGAAAAATGATCTTCTACTTGTTTAGTATCAGTGATAAGTGTAAATGTGAAGGGTATAAGGAGGAAATGTGGATTAGAATGAGTTTGGTAAAGTTGGAGCCTTTTGGCTTAGGGAAGAGATTATGATCTGTGATCTTATCAATCAGTTTCATCTTGTGTCTGGAAATCAACATGAGGTTTAGATTTACTTTCCATTTTTCTGATAATTGAATTTAATGGTTAGTGAGGCATTGGGATGCTCTTGGTGAGTGTGCTAATCGTCTTTGTGTTGGTGATACCGTCTTTGTACTATGGAAAGCATCAAATTGTGGAATTCGTAAGGATGTTCTGAGTTGCTTTAGGGATCGTTTTTTGTTTACTTTATTAGACTCATTAAGGCCTGAAGATAAAGAATGTGTAGAGAGGTTCTTTGACCATTTGATAAAGTGATAGACTTTTGGGTCAGGGAGAGATTATGATCTGTGATCTTATCAATCAATTTCATCTTGTGTCTGGAAATCAACATGAGGGTTTAGATTTACTTTCCATTTTTCTGATAATTGAATTTTATTGGTTAGTAAGGCATTGTGAGGCTTGTTTGTGGTGAGTGTGCTAATTGTCTTTGTGTTGGTGATATCGTCTTCGTTACTATGGAAAGCATCATATTGTGGAATTCGTAAGGATGTTCCTGAGTTGCTTTAGGGATCGTTTTTTGTTTGCTTTATTAGACTCTCTTTAAGGCCTGAAGATAAAGAATGTTTAGAAAGGGTCTTTGACCATTTGATAAAGTGGGAGCCTTTTGGCTTTGGGAGAGATTAGGATCTGTGATCTTATCACTCAGTTTTATCTTGTGTCTGGAATCAACATGAAGGTTTTGATCTACTTCCCAATTTTCTGATAATTGAATTTAGTGGTTAGTGAGGCATTGGGAGGCTTGTGGTTAGTGGGCTAATCATCTTTGTTTTGAACTTTAGAATCCTCTTTTACGGCTTGAAGTTAAAGAATGTTATCCCATTATATGAACTTGTGTATCTTTGAATAGGTCTCTCCAGACTCACAACAAATGAGAAGCTTCAGGATGCATTTGCTTCTTTTGGACAGCTCGTGGATGGTAAATGTTACTCTCTCTTGGATTCCTTAATCCAACATATGTAGAGCATCAAATCATAGATTTTGTTTTGTTGTTGCAGCTAGAGTGATCACAGACAGAGAGACCGGGAGATCAAAGGGTTTCGGTTTTGTTACATATGCAACAATTGAAGATGCAGAGAAGGCCAAGGCAGAGATGAACGCAAAGTTCTTGGACGGTTGGGTGATTTTTGTGGATCCTGCAAGACCTAGAGAACCAAGACGGCCTCTGCAACATGAGCCGCCTCGGTCTTCCTCTGGATCTGGTTTCACAACCAACAAAACCATCGGCTGGTGTGAATGAACAAAATCCAACCACTTATGTATGAAATGAAAATAAATTCTTGAATCCATTTATCAATTTTGAGGCAAAAGGCAAATCCTTTAGACCTTAACTTATGTTTTCGAGATATCTATCATACGATGCAATAACAGGTTACATGTCATAACTGACAAACGAACAACAAATCATTCTCTTCTCGCTTTAAAGTTTGCAAACGCAGATTAGGAATAACAAAAACGCAGCGTTTTAGACTATTCACAGCCTCTCTCTCTCTTTCTCTGCCAACGGTGACTTTTCTCTGCCACTGTGCCTTTCCTCTAGGGTTTAAGGTTTGATTTTCAGACAAAAGTACAAACAATCAATCTGCAGCTTAAGGTTTGATTTTCAGACAAAAAGTACAATCAATTCGGCGATTGGTCTCAGAAGATGCATTCTTGTTCTCATACTCACTTCGTATCCTTCAAGCTTCCTCATTTTTTCGCGCCTAAGGTCTCTTTCTCTCATTCTTCATCTCTTTTGAGTGTGCTTTGTCGCCAATTAAGAAGAAAAGTTTAAAACTTTGGAAAAATTTTACAGAGTTTTGTGGCGTCTTCACGGAGAGAATTAAGAGTGTTCGCAGTGGCAACAACAGTGGAGGAGGCGTCTGGTAATATACCAGCGGCTCCGATTTCTCTACCTGAAGGGTCATGGAAACAGGTTTTGAATTGCATATAAAATTAGGAATCTTTTTGAAGAGTTGCTTTCAAAGTTTGAAAATTTGAGAATCTTGTTGTTTTGTTTAGATAGCTGGTGGAGTTACAGCTGCTAAAGGGTTTAAAGCTGCTGGTATGTATGCTGGTTTACGAGCTGCAGGGAAGAAACCTGATCTCGCTCTTGTAACCTGTGATGTCGAAGCTGTAGCTGCAGGTCCAATGCTGGCCTTTGTTCTCCTTTTAATGTTTGGTTTTTGTTTGTTTCAAATGCAAAAATTTTTTGACTTTTTTCTTGAGAATTTTTAGGTGTGTTTACTACCAATGTGGTTGCTGCTGCTCCTGTAGTTTACTGCAAAAAAGTTCTTGAGACTTCGAAAACGGTAATCCTCTATCTCATGAATTGGATTTCGGAGGTAGAACAATGCATTTTGTGCTTCTGAGCTTTGAATTTTTATGTTCTTTAGGCTCGTGCAGTGTTGATCAATGCCGGTCAGGCCAATGCAGCTACAGTAAGATATCTCAGCTGTGTAGTCTGATGCTTTCAATAAGTCGAGATCTTGAGCTATGTTGTTTAGGAGTTAATTCGTATGATTGTGAAGTAGCCTGAATATCTATAGGGTTGTTAGCTATGGATCACTCATTATTGTTATTATACGTTTTAAGGATTTAGATAATTCCTTTTTCAGGGTGATGCCGGTTACCAAGATATGTTAGATTGTGTTGGATCTATTGCGACGGTATGCCTTGGTGTCTTTCATTCCCATGTCTCCCGCAAAACCTCGTATATCTTTCAACATTGTTCACGTTTGTTTCTTTATCGTTGTAGCTACTTAAAGTGAAGCCAGAGGAAGTGTTAATTGAATCAACTGGTGTTATCGGTCAGAGAATAAAAAAGGTATAACTTACTTCTCATTCTTTTTCGATGCAAATGCTCCGACAAAGTTAGTTTACCCGTAAATCTTTGCAGGAAGAGCTTCTTCAAGCACTTCCAGCCCTAGTCAACTCGAGATCAGACGCTGTTGAAGAGTATAATCTTCTTTTCTCAATCTCTCTCTGAGTTCGTTGGTCACAGTCTTCACTTTCTTTGTTAGCCATTGGACATAACCATATGAAATTGAAATGCAGGGCAGATTCTGCTGCTGTAGCAATCACGACAACAGATCTTGTAAGCAAGAGCGTTGCAATTGAATCACAGGTAGGTTTAAGAAACACGTTGTATACTCTATTTCTAGCATTTCATATATCTTACAATCATTTTGAAACTGCTCAGGTTGGTGGAATCAAGATTCGAGTTGGTGGTATGGCAAAAGGCTCCGGGATGATCCATCCAAATATGGCAACTATGTTAGGTGTATGTCCTTTTAGCTATTACTCTCTTTTGCCTGTGTAGTTATTAATACATACACATTGATGTTCAACGATGCCAAATCGATATTTATCTTTCTCAGGTCATCACAACAGATGCACTAGTTGAAAGTGATATCTGGAGAAAGATGGTAAAGGTTGCAGTAAACCGAAGTTTCAACCAGATCACTGTAGGTTACACAATTTCAAACATTGTTGTAATTAGATTATTTTTATTTCCAGTCTGATTTATGGTCTTGTAGGTAGATGGAGACACAAGTACTAACGACACAGTCATTGCTTTAGCGAGCGGGCTATCTGGATCACCTTCTATATCATCTTTGAACTGTAACGAAGCTGCACAGCTTCAGGCATGCCTCGATGCGGTATGTATGTTTTTTTGCTATCTTCCTAACAGTTGTTCATAAGCTGGACTTAACATGGAACCCATCTTTTTCAGGTGATGCAAGGACTTGCTAAATCAATAGCTTGGGATGGTGAAGGTGCTACATGTCTCATCGAGGTTCACAAAATAAAACTTTTTCTCCCAACCCTCTGATTGAAAACAAATCTTAACTAATAACACAAAAATCACCAGGTAACTGTTAAAGGAGCAGAAACTGAAGGAGAAGCAGCGAAAATTGCACGCTCGGTGGCTTCCTCTTCCCTAGTCAAAGTATGAGATCCAAGATATATATACATGAATGATAAAAGGGAGCTTTCTTGTTTCTAAATAATAGTAAACGTCTGTGGTTGCTGATGTGACAGGCAGCTGTTTATGGGAGAGATCCAAACTGGGGACGCATAGCTGCAGCTGCTGGCTATGCCGGGGTTTCTTTCCAGATGGATAAGCTGAAGATATCGCTCGGCGATTTCTCACTCATGGAGAGTGGTCAACCTCTTCCGTTTGACAGGTTTATCTTACAACTGATTTGTCTCTCAATGGGAAAATGAAGTTAGATCATGTTCTTACACATGTAATATACACAGGGATGGAGCCAGTATCTACCTCAAGAAAACCGGCGAGGTTCACGGAACAGTTACAATCGATATATCCGTAGGTAAGAGATTCATTTGGCTAGCCGTATTAAATCAACCATGTTCTGTGAACCTGAGTGCGGTTTTGTCCCATGAACAGGTGATGGTGCAGCCATCGGAAAGGCATGGGGATGCGACCTTAGCTATGACTATGTCAAGATCAACGCTGAGTACACCTCATAGGACTGAGACTGAGAGACAGAGTTTCATGTACTATTGTTGTGTTATGATCTCAAATTATAAACTGATTTTGCTTCAAATAAGAGAACAAAGTTCCATTGAGTTATTCTTTTTTTTTTTTTTGTCAATCATTCCATTGAGTTATTCTCAAAAGTGAAAACTTAATCCAAAAAGAAAAAAGTAACAAACTGAAACAAAATCTTCACAATAGTGTTAAGGATCATCCATTACCCATAAGAAATGTTACGAAACTCAACAGGAATCACACACAAAGAGATTTGATTATTTATCACACAAGAGGAGGCCAAGCTCAAAGATGAGCTAAGAAGAAGCTGCAACTATAGGCATCTGAGTTACCCATTCAAATTTGTCTCGACTGTGTTTGCGAGAAGCTTGCTTCTTGTCTTTGCTGCTGCCACCACGTGAGGAAGAGTTGTCTTTACTCTTTTGTCCTTTCTTTCCAGTCTTCCTGTGGTTGTCTTTGCTCTTGGATTTCTGCTGCTGTTTCTTGCTTCTTGTGACTGTGTGGGAGGCTATCGAGGGAGGAGGATCATACACATCAGCCGCCCATGAAACACTAGACTTCCTCAGTGACAAGCCATGCTTCTCTCGACTGCCTTTTATGGCTGGGATGAGAACAACTGGTGTCTGTTGCAATTCAAGAAACAGATGAGAAACAATCAGTATAGAGCAGGAATACACAGCCTTGACTTGAGAGATATGACAAGGATCTCACTATGAAATCAATCTGCCTGACAACACCCCAATTCCGAGGAATCTTAAACTCTTACTAATGTACAAACTATGGAACTCCAGAAACACTAATTTCTTGCTCAAATGTTTCCTCCTTGCTTGGACTATATATGGAGACTCTTGTAGACTTATTCTTTCAAAAAAGATTCGGACTGGTTCAGGAAAACCAATCACACATAGGAAAGCCTAGTCAGAACAACTAACTACTGTGACCTCTCAAGCTCCAAAAGATGGTACACAACTTGTACCTTGGCAAATAGACCACAGAAAACAAAATCTAAGAATAAAGATAGATAGAACTTACAGTCGTAAGGTTCTCATCCTTGTCTTCATCATCCAATGAGTTGGGACTTAAAGTGGATTTTCCGAAATCCTGATCAGCGGTTTCATCATTCGCAGTAGAGTCTATATAACCAATTTCATCTCCATCAGACTCCTGAGAATCTTCAGATCCAGTAAACGAGGTATGCTTGGAGCCTTTAGAACATTCCGTGGGACTCGAGATGTCAAAGTCTGCATCTTGGAAATCCAACTTACCACAAACAGAGCTCATATCCAACTAACAACAGAAGATAGTCACAGTAGTAGTAACTGCAGAAACAAATTCAAAGTTATCATTAGTAAATGAATGATCTTTAGATCACACAAAAGAAACAAAAGACTAATACTGAAATTGAACTAAAATTAAAGCCTGCAGAAGTCAAAGAGACAAAAGTTTCACCTTTTTGAGCTGCAAATGGAGCACTAGCAGAAGTAAAAACACCAAAGATGGATCAAAGATTGTGTGTCCGAGCTAGGAATATCTCAAGAACCAGAGAGAAGAGAAATAAGAGAGCAGAGAGGAGAAGGAAACGAAATGTTAACTAAGATTACCACGCCAATCACACTTTTCAAGAGGTTTCAAACGATTAGAACTCAAACCAGAATGATAAGGAGTCAACGAAGGAATCAAAGAGAGGAGAAGAAGCTTAGAGGGCACCGAAGGCATTCTTATCTTATGCTCTTCGAAACCCTATAACCGTAAAAAAAAAAACCCTAATTCTCGAATTTCGAATCCAAGAAATCGCAGAGATCTCAGAAAACTTTGATGCAGAAAGAAACACACAACGAAATGAGCAAGATATACAAACTGAGCCGCGAGAATCCCTTAGAATCGGATCATGGAAAAATCAGAGAATCAAGGAGAGAATTATATCCACAACGAATCTCACGCTTGAGGAGGAAGCTAATTTGAGAAGAAGAAGAAGAGATTGAAGAAGAAAGAGAAGAATGATTGATGAATGATGATGTCGTTTTTTTTTAAAACAAGAAAAATCAACGGCGATAGATGTAGACAAGCTTAATGACTGTACACGTGTCCCTTACCCTTAAGACTTTTCTTTATGGGCCTTGATATTTTCTTTTGAGTGTAATGGGCTGGAGATTATAAATTGCTATTTTTTTTTGTGAGTTTATAAATTGCTATTTAAGGAAATAGTAAATTTCACCAAACAAACTACATAATTATTATGAAATTGATTATACAAGGAAATTGGAACAGTTTAATTTTTGAATAATAACAACTGAGTTTGATATATATATTGGTGGTAATAACAAGGGTCATGACTCATGATCCAACTGCGACGCATACATCACTTGGGCACATAGGTTATACTAGTCCCCACAGAATCATCAGATTCAACCTTGAGTTTCTTAGTCCACGCAGGGGTATGTACAAATTTCCCGATAATCACTCCTTTATCGAATAGACATCCTGGCCATACTGCTGAGCTTTCGGGATTGTCTGATGTAAGCTTATTAGGCTCTACTAAGAAAGCATTGACAATCTTGCATGCATACAGTTAAGACCAAGGGAGGTTGGCGTATCCTGGTGGTACAACATACTTGTGAGGAGTGTCTATTTTCCATAAAAACATGTCGTTTACCATCATTTGAACTCTCTCAATTTTATTCCTAGGAACTATAATACATCAACAAAGATATAGATTATGTAATGTAAAGAGAAAAGAGCGTTAAGATAGCTTAAGGAAAAAGAATTCACCTTTGGGAAGGAAATAGATTATGGCTTTCTGAAACTTATCCAGCACGTCATCCGAGAATGGTATCTTCTCAGCATAGGCCCATATTGACATCACACCAGAATAACTGGAAGGCATATGATGATATATATATACTCTGCTCTTTTCTCAGTTGGTGTTCATGTGATAAAAACACCTCCACACATTAATAAAAAATCCTCGCTATGTTATGATGGAACAAAGGTTTTCTCGACAACTGAAAGAGGATAACGACATCTTGCATGAGGTTACAGAAGGAAAACTAATCTAGCTTGAACCCAAAGCTTGTTACAAAATTATATTCACTATCTAAATGTTTTGAGTCTATTACAAAATTATATCATTAAAAGAGAGACTGCTTAAGTCTAGTCTAACAGTATCAGTACAGTTGCCAGGATCAGAATCTGTTTCCCAGTTTCCGAAGCTAGAACAAGAAACACTGTCAAAGTCCATAGGACGTGAACCATCTAATAATGTTGTAGAGTCAAAAATTGCGTCTGCAGAACGAAAAAGCTCTGCCTCATAATCATACTGCACCAAGAGAACATTGAAACCTCTAGCTTCCAAAGAGCCAAGAACCCTCAAACACTCGTATGTAAGTGGGGTTTTTGAGATTACCATCACATTGTTTTGTTTACCATCATCACAGGAAGATGCAAATGTAATCATGTCAAATAACATCCTACGAACTCTTTTGTCTTTATCGCCTGGAAACATATAAAAACACAGATCTTGATTACATACATATATAAAGATTAGAGTGATAAAAAGGTTAATGCAAAGAAATTCACCTATGGATTCGTAGCAGACGTCGAACCATTCAGCTTCTGTTGAGCTCTGGTTCTCAGGACCATAACACCAGATCCTCTCCTCACCAAGGTAACCCATTCTCTCAAGAGCTGATCGGATATTAGAAGAAATCAAATAACCATTGGGATCACTAGGGGTTGGGATTTCCTCGACGAGCCAGATGACGCATGTGTTGCTCGAGTACCAAGGCCCTAAAACAGAGAACTCGCATAAAACGATTACAATCTAATTATTTTTTTTTTTGAATCAAAATTACAATCTAATTATTACATCTCCATTAACCATTAATTCACTATATGACAAGGAAGAGAGATCTTACCGCGGCTGTTCATGGTTTCGACGCGAGAGATTTAGAGACTTTTCTTTCTTTGGGAGAAGAAACAAGATACGAACAGAAGTAACTTTTAGGGTTTGAAGGTTTGGATCTCAAGGTAAATTAAGGGTTTGAAAAAACATATTAAATTTTATTCACCTTCGTAGTGTCCTTGTGTTTTGGGTCTAAAAAAGCCTAGTATATATAGTAAGGATATGGAACCCACAAAATAAAAAATTAAGTCTAATATCTTACCGTAAAACAAAAAGAAAACAATATTTCTCCACGACAACTGGCACTTTTCAATGATATTTAAAGACCATCCAACTAAGTGTAGTAGTGTAGAACCCTTGTCCTCGTGGCTACTAAACATTAAACATAAACATGAGTTTAGATTTTGGGACTTCGAAAATCAGAAGGTCGACCAAATCAACACCATCACACTTAATTGTTTTAGTGGGCACATCTGACAAAGAACATGATTATTCAGAGTCTCAATAGAAGCACGCAGGTTATTGTGTATGATTTTGCCGTATGCGAGCCAATGGATATACAAACGAGGATTTAGTGTTCTTAAGACACTATTAATAGTCTCTTAACTTTAAGATGACATATCATCGGTTTGGTCGACCTCTTGATTTCGAAACCCCAAAATTAAAACATCGGTTTACGTTTACTGTTTAGCTAAACCGCGAAAACAAGGATTTTACACTTGACAACAATTCTCTTGAAAAACATGGAGAGAAAACTTACGAGAAATCTTGTTTGATGTTCATCTTTGACTCTTGTTTCGATAGTGTGAGAATATTTGTGAGAGATGATGAATGATCGAGAATGAGTTTGTTTATATAGAGAAATAATGAGATTTGTTTATAATTAAATTAACAAAAACGAAACCATAGAATTGTATTCTTGACCCAAGAAAAGAAAAAGGTAGAGAAAAAGATTGGCCTTTTGAAATTAGTGGAGAATCTCGTCCTCTCTTCCCGGTTACGGCGAAAACGTTTGGTGGCAAATCAATGAGAATAAGATTCCCTTGTACGCTCTATGGGCCAAGTCAGTAAGTGCATGTCTCTCTGACCTTTTGACATTTTCATCCGCTGTTTCAGATAGAGACCCGATTGCTGCTACTATGGGATTCACATGATCCAAGTATTACATATTGAAATTATAAGTAAACCTATAGTTACTCACATGTATCATTTCAGTTGATTTACGCGTAATTTTGATGGGACTATATCTGCTGTTACACTAACCAATGCTTCTGGTATGCATGCATTCAATCAGAGCTATTGCGACATAATTATGGTATAAGTCAGGATGTTGGCTCACTTTGGTGTTCTAGGGCTGAAAGGGATCTTGAAGGATGAGTAGCTGCTGAGAGATCATCCTAACTAAACAAGAGGAAGCTGCATCAACTGGAAAAGCTAGAATAAGGAAAATCACAAACTGTGAAACTGTACACGTTGAACAAATTGTACATGGAGGCTTCTTTGCCTAACCGTATCTACTTGCAAATTAATTGAACCCAAACCAGAGTTTAACATAACAAAGATTAAACGTCAAAATGTTTACAAAATATATATCATTTAGAAGTGAGACTGCTTGAGCCTACGTTCTCAGGATCAGAAGAGATGCCAGGATCAGTATCAGTTTCCCAGCTAGTGCTGCTATTACAAGAATCATTGTCAAGGTCCATAGGAATAGAAACACTGTCTATGGACCTTGTAGATGTGCTTGGTTATTAGAAGAAGCCAATGCCATTCAAGAAGATGCTGCAACTAACGGCATCTGAGTTACCCATTCAAATTTTTCGCGGCTGTGTTTGCGAGAAGCTTGCTTCTTGTCTTTGCTGCTGCCACTACGCGAGGAAGAGTTGTCTTTGCTCTTCTGTCCTTTCTTTCCGGTCTTCCTGTGGTTGTCTTTGCTCTTTGATTTCTGTAGTTGTTTCTTGCTTCTTGTGTGGGAGGCTATCGAGGGAGGAGGATCATACACATCAGCCGCCCATGAAACACTCGACTTCCTCAGTGACAAGCCATGCTTCTCTCGACTGCCTTTTATGGCTGGGATGAGAACAACTGGTGTCTGTTGCAATTCAAGAAACAGATGAGAAAGGGGATACATAGTCTTGACATGAGAGATATTACAAGAATTTCACTAGGAGATCAATCTGACAGATAACAAGCCCATTTGCGAGGACTTTTAAACTCTTACTAATGTACAAACTACGGAAGTCCAGAAACACTAATTTCTTGAATCAAATGTTTTCTCCTTGCTTGCACTATATATCGAGACTCTTGTAGACTTATTCTTTCAAAAGCTTCTGGACTAATTCAGAACAACCAACCACACAGGAAAATATCAATGACCCACGAGAGCCTTATATATTATTATGATTTTGACTCATAACTACTGTGATCTTTAAAGCTCCAAAAACTGGTAACAACTTGTACCTTGGTAAATAGACCAGAAACAGTAAAATCTAGGAATAAAAATAGATAGTTAACGAGAATCCTGAGTAACACAGGCTGACTTACAGTCGTAAGATTCTCATCCTTGTCTTCATCATCTGAAGAGTTGGGACTTAAAGTGGATTTGCCGAAATCCTGATCAGCGGTGTCTTCATTCGCAGTTGGGTCTATATAACCAGTTTCATCTCCATCAGACTCCTGAGAATCTTCAGAGCCAGTAAAGGAGGTATCCTTCGAGCCTTTAGAACATTGCGTGGGCCTCGAAGTGGAGATGTCAAAGTCTGCATCTTTGTAATCCAACTTACCACAAACAGAGCTCATATCCTACTAACAGCAGAAGGTAGTCACACAAGTTGTAACTGCACAAACAAATTCAAAGTAAATGAATGGTCACACAACGAAAAACAAAGAGTCATGCTTAAATTCCATTCACTCTATTTGCATGATACAGAAGCCCATGAATTTGAACCTAATCTAATCTATGTGATTAGAACATGAAACAAAATCCCCAAATTAAACAAAACTTAAAGTCAAAGAGACAAAATTTCTCACCTTTTTGGGTTGCAAATCGAGCACCACCAAAAGTAAAAACACCAAAGATGGATCAACGATTGTGTGTCCGAGCTCGGAAAATCTCAAGAACCAGATGAGGACGAGAGAAGAGAGGGTAAAAAGATGAGAAGAGAGGAGAAGGAAACGAAATGTTAACTAAGATTACCACGCCAATCACACTTTTGAAGAGGTTTCAAACGATTAGAACTCAAACCAGAATGATACGGAGTCAACGAAGGAATCAAAGAAAGGAGAAGAAGCTTCGAGGGCACCGAAGGCATTCTTATCTTATGCTCTTCGAAACCCTATAACCGTCAAAAACCCCTAATTCTCGAATTTCGAATCCCAGAAATCGCAGAGATCTCAGAATTTGATCCAGAAAGATAACCACCAGGATTCCACGAAAGAGCCAAATATACAGAAACGACGCCGCGAAAAACCTTAAAATTGGATCATGGAAGCAAAACAGAGAATCAAGGAGAAGAACTATATCCACAACGAATCTCACGCGTGAGAAGGAAGATAAAGAAAGCTAATTTGGGAAAGAAGAAGACGAACAAGGCAGAGAAGAAATGACTAATGATGATTGATGACGTTTTTTAAACAAGAAAAATCAACGGTGGTAAATGTGGCGGCCTACCTTTAGATAGATTTATGACTGTACACGTGTCCTATATCTTTTTTAAACTTTTCCTTATGGGCCTTGATATTTTCCTTTTGGGTCTAATGGGCTAAGAATAATAAACTGCTATTTAAGGAAATAAATAACACCAAACAATCTACCTAATTATTAGGTCGGTCTTAAGAATAGCGTCACGGCCTGTTGGTGTTATAGATGACGATATACAGTAAAACCTCTATAAAAACCTCTATAAATTAATAATGTTGGACCAGAAAATTTTATTAATTTAGAGAGGTATTAATTTATCGATAATTTAGAGAGAGATTTTACTAATTTTGTAATTTTTTGAGAAATTTCTATCTAAAAATAAAATTTTTCTTTATAAACAATATCTTTTAAAAACTAATTACAAGTAGAGAAACAATTATTAAGTTTAAAAAATAACACAAACATTTTTCGAATAATAGAGTCATATTTCATCAAATTTTTTACATATAATATTTTAAATATATATCATAGTAATTCATATATAACATATATAAATTTATATAATGTATATATATATATATATAAGGATAAGTTAATACAATTATTAATTTATGATATAAATGGGACCATATGTTTATATGAGATTTTCAAAAAAATTATTATCTTATTAATTTATCGATTTATGTCATATTTTACACTGATCCCAACTCGGGACCGGAAGAATTTATTAATTTAGAGAAGTTATTAATTTATAGAGGTTTTACTGTAACAAGTTTGTCTTGTAGTATATCCATTACTTAGAGAAATACAGGGGCGGAGGCACGTAGAGTATTATGGGTGCAATTGACACCAATAAAGTTTTTAAAAACGTTCTAATTTCATTAAGTTTTTAAATATATATGAGTCTTGAACCCAACCCAATTTTGAGTTTGAACCCAACCCAATTAGAATTGAACCCAACCCAATTATATTAAACAAAGTAAAAGTGAGATAGATATTCAAATTATAAGAACCCAATGATTTGACACAATTCAACTTATAAAAGCAAACGTGAAGCCCAATTATTTGAAATTGTAGAGTCCAATCATTTTAATCTAACCCATTTTAATCTAACCCAATTGTAATCTGTAGTAATAAAACAACTCAGGGTTTGACTGGTTTAAACGCAGCGGTTGCGGTTACGGTTGTGAGAGTTTGCGGAAGCGAGCGGTTGCGGTTTCAAACGTTATTTAGCGTTTTAACTGACTGGTTAAGCGGTTGAAAACAAGTGCGTTTGCGGCGTTGTAATAAATTTTTTAGATATTATTTATGGTTATATTTCTTATCGGGTTGTAAATTTTTTTGAACCAACTTATTTTGACCCCATCAAACAATTTTCCTAGATCCGCCACTGGAGAAATAGCGTTTAATTTTCAATGTCTAAGAGGCCAAAGCCTTGCATCACAGTCACAGCTTTGCCAATGAGCAAAACTCTCTGCCAAAGCCTTTTTTGTTGTGTTGACAATATTGTTTTCATCAAGTTACAGATCATTGAGCTTGATGGGAAGTGAATTAAGCAGCAGATTTGGAATAAGAGTGGTTTCGTACAATCACAACACGTTTTATTCTCTGAGAATATATCCCCTTAATTTTGCTTGTGTATGAAGTCACAGATGAATCATTGCTTGTGTATGAAGTCACAGATGAATCATCTTTTAAAACTAACTATTATCTTTACTCTTTACTCTCAGATTTTCAGGCCTTGTGTAACAAAACCTTTGCAACAGACCTAATTTTTCTCTTACTTCTGTTAATTAATTAGCAAATATTATCTACTTATAAGTACAATTTACAAATTCATTATTTTCTGTGTTTTTTTTTTTTATATTTTCACTCTGAGTAGACATCAGGAATCGGATCCGTAAGTAACATTGAGCAGCACGCTTCTAACAATGTCAACAAGATTCTTCTAGTGGGGAACAAGGCAGATTTGATTAAGAATCAAAAGAGTATCTCTACCTTCTCCATCCATGTGTAGTAGTATTCTCCAGCTTATTTTTCACGTGAGTTTTAAGACGTCACTTCATTTTTCATCTGCAAATGAATATGGAATCAAATTTTGTTGTGACCATATATATTTCATGGGTTGATTCATTTCATTGGCTAACTTTAATGAGTTTCTTCCTAGCTTTATACCTTTTTCCAGGCACCACAACTTATCATGCAGTTCACTTAGGCCCAGTGCCGTTGAGACCAACAACTTGTAGAAGGCCTTCTATATATGTTTTAGTAAGGATATGTCATGGAGTACACTGTGTATTAAAGAAAATAGATATACACGGTCTAAAAATATCATATGGGTCTCTCAATCATTCACTAATGTCCAAAAGTATAACCAATTAGTGTATAGGAAAATATATGTCGAATGTAGTAAAATGACATATTTAAAAGAAAGGTATACATAAGGATTCCTTTTTCCATGGTTAAATTGACATCTGACCAATACTAGTCCATACACTACCCTAATCCCAATCCACTTACCTAGATGCATTGTGTGGATTCTAACATCAATTATCTGATCGACAATTGTCTCATTCTCGATTTTTTTTGTCGTGACCCCAACCTCTTCTGTTTTGCACTTACAGCAACAAACTATCAAGATCGACCAAGCTAGTCAACCTTCTGGAACGTCTCAAGCAAAGCAAAGATCAGCATTTTGCGGTTCTTAAAACGTAAAACGTAACTCGCTATGGCGAAGAAACAAATGCACCATTTATTTATTTTCTATGATATGGTGCTTCTGCATTGCTTTAGTTTCGTCACTGACGTTTAATATCGAATGAGACCGACACATATCTCCATATCTATATATTATCTAAACCATACCTAATAATTCAGAAACAATTAAAGAGAAAAAAAAAAAAAAGAGAAGACAGGTTAGGATTGTTGAAAATCTTTTGGTATGTGATTGGAAATTATTTGCACGTCTTCAAAATATGTAATGGACTCTCTTTTGCTTTTGTGTCGTACGTGATGCTTATTGTCTGCTTTATAGCTCCCAGATCAAGACTTACTTGGATCTTATACTCCTAATTCTCCTTTATTTTTGCCGATTCCATATTAATAAAGCAAGCCAAATCTTTATTAGTTAGCATTTAGGTGAGCATAATTTACTTTTAAAGTTCAAACAATATCCATTTTCTTTTTTTATTCTGTTTTATCAACTCCGTATTGATCAACACGAATAACTAATTGAGAATCTCAATTTGAGATCTATATTCTTTCAACAAAAGTTCCATGAGCTATGATAAATATGAATGAGCTTCTCTCATGATTGGTTCACAACATAATCTATGAAGAATCTCTTGAGTCATGATTAAAACTATTAATTATCTATTAGAAAAAGGATTATGGTGGTGATTTATAGATAGGTCAAGGAAGTTAAATCTGATGAAGAACGCACCGAAGAAATAAAGCTACAAGTGGGTGATAAGACTCGATGTCTGAGTCGACATACACCATTTTACATTTGAGACAGACACACTCCAAAGCAATTATGTTCCCACCAATCACCAACTACTTCACTTAGATCTGTTCTCCATAATCTCACACACCTCTTCTTTTCTCATCTTTATAATTAGCAATAATTGCTATTTTCTACCTACATCTTTTAATTAGTAACTTCCTTTTCTTCTTTCAGATTTATAGTAGTAACACTCACCAAGTACAACTCTTATCTACATAGTTTAACCATGCAAAGACATTTAAGCTGTAGTATACGTAGGACTTAACTTTGTGGCTGTGTGCATAAGCTTCAACCTCAAACATTACGATTTTCGGGTATGCCTCGCAACTAGATTCTGTTTTGGTTTAGAAAAAAAAAATCAAACTAACATTGACGTTTTCTTCAAGGTTAAAGGTTGTTAACCGGGCCTTGTGGCCTAGTGGTAAAGGGGTCACAGCTGTGACTTCCGCCACCAGGATTCGAGGCACGGCCACTGGCAGGTTTACATAGGGGAATTGCCAGCCTCGTGGGATTAGTCCTTGGGCCTAGGAAGCCTTTGGGAGACCCGCGGTTATTCAAAAAAAAAAAAAAAAAAAAAGGTTAAAGGTTGTTTGTTTATCATTCAAAAAAAAAAAAGGTTGTTTGTTTATATATAAATAAAACAATAAATTCATTTTAATCAAATCAAAACTAGGTTGTTTTGATTGTTTATCTAATTTGAATAATATTCGTACACTCTGCTTCTGATAAGAGGAAACCTGATACACAGTCAAATTCTTATATATGTATTACTTTAGGAATTTCTTATCATGCATGTGAGATTCCTACCCATTTGTAAAGAATACAATTAAAAAGAAATGGAATATAAATATGCCCGTGTGTATGTTTTAGTTTTCAGATATACTAAGAGTACGATGAATTATTGTGGATTAATATCATTAAAACTTCCTACCTAAAGAAAAAGCCAATAAAAAAACAGGTTAGTTAAAAAGTAAAGGCTAATAATCGTTACAATCGCACTCGTGAGCACAATTAGAGAGTATTATCTTCTACTATTTTCAAATATCACCATAATAGTTACACTTACACTAAAGCATATGCCCCCCATAAACAATCATGCTCAACTTATTCTAAATTCCTATATGGACAATAATGGCATCTTAACAAAAACCGGAGATCTACTAGCAAATCCAATACATTTTTCTAATGATTCGAAGAATAGAAATAATAGAACTCCACTAAATAGATGTTCATAAACTTCTGATAAAAAAAAGAATATAAAGTATTAAAAGATAAGACAATGCCCATATGTATTAAAATGAGGACCGCCCAAAGCATTAGCATACAATAATTCGGAGAAAAGCATTAGCTAGTAGACAAGAATGCGAGATAAAGCATTACATAACAAGTTAAAAGAAAAAGAGCAATTGGGAAACTTGATCAGAAGAAGACGATCATTATCTTTCTTTTCGTTGTTTGTATCTTTGACCATATAAATTAATGGATCTCATTCTTCGTCTTTTGCTTTCGATGCCTACATTCAATTTGGAGCTTTCAAAACGGCCTTAAATATGCGGTTTCGAATCGTCCTTCCACACATATATGATATATCTAGTAGATATTATAGGTCATCTAAACGTTAGCCAGTACAAAAAGGACATTGTAGATTTTAGACAATGTAGAAAATGACATCCTAGCTATATGAGTTTTTATCTTGTTTTTTTTTTTTAGTTGAAAGAAACTTTTCTTTCTTGGAGTTTATGTCCTTGTTAAAGACACAAAATTAGGTAACTAATTACGATTATATCATTCTTATTCCAAAAAAATTAACTTCAACTTACACAAAAGAAAAAATCGGTGCACCACACGGAATCTTTACCTTTTGTTAGCCCAAAAGGGAAAGAAGATGTTTATTTAGAATCCTGAGTGTTATTTTGCACGTCTCTTATTGGTTCTCACAAAGCAGGTTTAAGATTTGGTCAAATTTAAATTATAATCATGTGTATATTCATAAGATTTGTTTCATATGCATACGTCATAAAATCCAGTATCTGATGTATCATGTATATGCGTGACTTGACGCAACTTTGAAAGACTCCATTCTTTTCACATTTTATCTAAAATCCCCAATGAAGATGTATAAGTGATGTCTTTCTTGACTAGATTCATGTTTCATCGTGGTTTTTTTTTTCTCATTTCAAAAAAAAATTATTACATGTCTCTCGGACATGAAGTCGGCATAGAAGTGTTAACGAACGAAGAAAAAAAAAAAAAAAGACATCACACATCTTAGCTTCTATGTTCAACGTGAACTCGATCGCTAGTCATATAAAATTTGGATTGTATTTGAACTTAGATGCGGATTTTCGCTTGCTGAACTACAAATTTCCGTCAAACTTTTTAATACTGATTCATAATCCTACAACTTATAACCACCACAACATTAAAATAATACAAACATATACCCATATTAAAGGATCAAACTAAATCTTTGCATATAAACTATGATATCTACATCTACTGACGTTTGGTTCATTGGGCACTTGTTATTTCTCTATTTTAGTTGTATAGTAACATATATTTATCAAATAATCATGTGATTTAATTAAACAATGACTTTTAATTTGCCAATGGGTATAAACCCACAAGAAAACGGAAGTGAAAAGAGCAAAATGTTGAACTTAAAAGTTTCTCTCCAAAATTGTTAACCAATCAAGTTACAGCATGTGAATTCTAAAATTAGTTAATAAGATTCTAGTAACTATAATTCGGAAAAATAGTTCATGTGCCATCTACAGTATAATATATTTAATCAGATAAAAGACAAAATACTTTCAAATATTTAATATATATACAGGAAACTATGCTAAACTAAATCAAATAAGATAAATCAATTACTCCATCTATCTTGAACTTAGATTCTAATCTATTTTTACTATGTAGATTACTATAAATATTGAAATGGTATATTTAACTAAGTATCATCTATCTTGATAATACAAGTGAAGAGAGACACTTCAACGTTCACTAAAAGAGGGAGATGGACCATTAAACAAAACTGGTTTGAGTGTAGTCTAAAATTTTCTATTATCCATAATTTGTATGGAGTTCAACCAACTTTTGACTTATATTTTAATTAATTTTAAGTTTACATATGTATCTACTTACCAGTTTTTTTGCGAATACTATAATCTCAAGGTTTTAAATAGATTTTTTCAACATTTTAAATAGAATATTTATATTATATAAATGTATAATTATTGTCCATGCAAAACGTTGATAATCTTCTAGATTCTATGATTTTTTTTTAGGAATATGATATTTCTTGAGACAAAAGATTTTTACATCATATTATAAAAAAATTTACATCAATAAATATCACTTACAACATTATTATAGCACCGAAACTGAGCTCATGAACTAAATAAAATTTACATATTTATTAATATCATGAGCCCACTGCAGCTAGAGCCAAACAACTTTAAATTTGATATACGTCTTATATCGTGAATATTCATACCTTCCAGTGCAAAATAATGAATCAAAAACGTTCTATAATTCTATATATTGATAGAGAACCGATGCTCCTTTATCTAAAACAAAATTATATATGCAAGAAAATAATGAAAGTGATTCCACCAGAAACTAAGTGGCACAATGGGAACAGTACAAATGACCCAAAATATTGGCGATTATACGCACTTACATCAATAAATATTCCATGAACTAAAATAAATTATAAATTAACTTAATAAAAAAGGAAAAAGGTTAAATCTAACCAATGATCACTCTACCCAACAGTGTCGGTATATCGTGACTCATTAATCATTTAGTTAATTTTTATACTTTATAGATTGAAAAGAACTCGATGCATCAACACCTCTCCTGAAGTTAGGCGACCATACATATATGGGAACATTAATGGATGCGCTTGGAATATTTACAAATTTCCTTATACAAATGATGAAAAGCAAATTGTATAAGAAAATATCATATACTATACTGTTTTACACACACACAACAAAAAAACTCATGAAAATTCATGAAACACCACTTAAAATTTCTCTAGTTTCCAATACAGAAATCTCTTGGATTGGGCCTATTTCGTGTTTTAATTTGTTGTTTATCAAATCATTCTTAAACTATGCCCTATGCTTCACAAAACGATCGATGAAGATCTTTTATTTAGTACAAACTCCGATAGTTAAAACGTCAACTATTTGTTAGAAGAATAAATGTTTAGTTTTCTATATGTTTTTAATAACATAATAAATAAAATTAGTAGATTTTGATATTTCCATAAGTAATGATGTATTATTGCATTATGTCAATAATTTTTGTTTTTGATATCTACTTTCTCTGTTTCATTTTAAATGATGTGTAAAATCTTTATACATAGATTCAGAAAGTATTCAAGAAATTGACGGAAAGCATCATCAAATACATTTCTTTTATGTATCTTTCTCAATATATGGCGCATTATCTGCTTATGTAATAATTTATTTTTCGAAAGTTTTGTATACTGACTTTGTAATCTCTCTTTGATATCAATGAAATTAGCTGGAAAAAAAAGATTAAGAAATTATTTAATATTATATACTTTCTAATTTCTATACTAAAATATTATTTTTACTTATCTAAAAATAATTCAACCAATGAAAAGCAAATAAAAAAATATAAAGAATTTTTTTAAAAAGCAGTAAAATTTACATTGAAAATTCTCAAACATCATATAAAATAAAACAAAAAAAATTCTCAAACATCAAGTAATATGAAACGTATCACTACAAAAAAAGGTTACATTGATAGCACCTAAGCATAGCACGATTTTCGATTTTGCTATGAAAAAGACTATGCCGGATTGGAATACTCTATTATAGCATTTTATAAATGCTATGCCGAAATTTAACTATGCGGGAACTATTAGAGCCATTTTTTTCATCGATCCTAACACTTAAAGAAAAAACAGACGGTGCTTTTCATTTTCAATTGGATAGAGAGAGAGGAAAAAAAACAAAACTTTGAAAAAAAAAAAAAAGCTCTCTCACTCTCACCATCTTCGATCCTCTTCTCCTCCATATATCCTTGCCCTCTCCAATCTTCTTCTCCATTATGTTCTTTCATTCGATCTCCCTTGCCCCTCTCTCTCTCTCTGCAACTTTTCTCATCTCTTTAGATTTCTCCGACATATCATCCATCTCAATTTCTCTGAAAAACCCTAGCGATTTCCGATTTGTCTTCTCCTGCGTCAGGCCTTCTCGCCGGAGATGTGGGAGGGATGTAGATCCCTTGCTTCCTAATTTCTTGTCTTTAATTAGTGTTCTCTGGTAGATCTGTGGGCAAATCGAAGGTGGTATGGGTTTGAGGTTATCGGCATCGCCTCTTGCTTGTTTGCGGCGGAGGATTTGGCTGGGCTTGGTGTCTTGCTTAGTGCTCGACGATTGTGGCTGAGTCTCCAATTAGGGCTTTTCGGCAATGGAATCAATCGGAGGTTAAGACAGCTGAAAATGAAGGAATCGTTGATGCTGGACCTGGTGATGATGAGTGTGAGACGAAGGAAGATATTTTGTTGACTTCGTCGACGACTTCAATCTCTCTCTCTCGACCGCCGCTTTATCCCTCGCAGTCTCCCTCTCTCTTTTTCCCCCTTTCCTTCGATTTTGTCATAAACCCTAATTTTACTTCTTTATTTCGTCTTGTTTTTGCTACAGGTTATCCTAAGAGATTCAAATCGAGAAGGGAAAAAATCTCTGAGCTTCTTTTCTATTGTAGAGTGAATCGATGCATCAGATGCGACCATCTCGAGCTTACGATTCCTGGGGACGACGAAGAGGGAGAGGCTAATTTGGGATGTGGAGTCGCCGGTGATGATGGTGTTACGAGGGTTGATGTTGATGAAGATTATGAAGAAGCTGGTGGTAGTAAAGAGAGCAAAGCTAATAGATTATAGATGAGGTTTTTGATCTAAAATCGCAATCAAAAATCTTTGTTGATTCCATTGATGTGAAGCTTGATTCTGATTGTTTCTTGTTCTTGTGTTTGCAGCCAATCTCGGTGTTGCTCGAATCCTTGAGAAAGCTTCAATTGATGTCTTTGAATTTGGATATTCTTAAGGTCGGTCTCTAGTGGATTAGTGTATGAAGTTTGTTGTTGTTGATCTTAAGGTTTTGAGATTCTTCTTTCAGAGTACTGAAATCGGAAAGGCTGTTAATGGTTTGAGGAAACATGGGTTTTGATAAGATTCGCCAACTCGCAAAGACTATTATCCTGTATGAGTTTTATCTTTCGTTAAAGAACACGAAATTTGGCAATTTCTTTACTCTTTTAAATGTGCCATTAAGGTTTTCATGTGTATATGCAGTGAATGGAAGGAGTTGGTAGCAGAAACTCAAAGCTTTTGATGCAGACGCAAGAAGTGAAAAGCTCCAGGACCTTAACAAGAAGTGAGTGTGGGAATCAAAGAGTTTTAGTCGTATTCTTGAGCAGGGAAGTAACGGTTTTAATCCTTCTTTGTTCATGGCAGAAACTCAAAGCTCTTGATGCAGACGCAAAGTTCCAGTTTGCTAAGAGGAAACTTCAAGCGAGCTACCAACAACATGAGAACGGTTTGTTCCTTTACCTCTTGTGATTTTTGACTGTGAACATTTGTGTTTGCAGGTAGATTCAGGCTGGGACATTGATGAATAACTATGCACATATATTTGATGCAAAACCTCTAATAGGTTTGCCTCAGCAGGACCTCTAAAAGGAATTCTCAGGTATACAGATGAAGATGTTGTATCTCTTCTTTTTCTTCAAAGTGATATGAATATCCTGAGTTTTGGCTTTGTGGTTGATTTCGATTTTGTTGTAATAGGTCAAGTATGTTTGATGCCAATGATGGGATTCATTGAGCAAGTCCTTTGGCCAATATTTTGTTACTGTGATGAAATGACAAATCACGAGCTGATGATGGCGGGGAACCACGATATCTCGTTTAGGCATGAGCAATATATGGAAGCTCGACAGAATTATGAGCATTTTAATTTTATTTCCATTTTTTTTGTAAAACTTTGATCTAACTCTTTTGTTGGTTTGTAATGTTAACAATTATGTAAACATATTTTGTTTAAGTTTAATTGTCTTTTCATTTTAATATTTTCCGAAAAAATAGCTTAAAAAAAACAAAATTGACCAAAATATATAATATAAAAGGATTATTATATTTAATATATACCTAACTAATAACAACAAATAAATGCTATTAAAGGTAGTAATGGCATTCGATTATTGCTATGAAACAATAAATAAAGACATTAAAAAAGTGCTATTGTAGATGAACATACTATAGCAGACAAAATTTATGCTATTGTAGGTGGGGTATCTACCATAGCTGCCGCAATCATAGCAGTTGTTATTTCGCTATGTATTACCTATAATAGCATTTTTCCGCGCTAAGAATGTAAGTTTTTCTTGTAGTGTATGGAGTATATAAATATGCTTAACAATACAATTTATATGCTGAAATACATGATTGTAGTTGACATGATTGTAACATATACATACGATGTTATTATCAAGAAAATCAATCAGATGAGAGAATAGTGATACAAGCGTTCGACTTTGATCAAATATGCGAATCCACGGCACTCTAAATATTTTGTTTAGTTAGTTCGGTTAGGTGACGATCACATACAAATTTCTGTGTCTTTTTGTTGATAAGGTAAAGAAATAAGGCCCATGATTTCAGGGTACGGTTTGGAAAGTAGCCTCAAAATATATAACAAAAAGGAAAAAAAAGAAAATTTACACGCATATTTACACTAACATAGACGTATAAGTTTCCGTAGAGAGAAGAATGTTCACATCACATCACATCCTTTTAACTTTGGCTCTATATAAAGAGAGATAGCCAAGACAATCATAACAACTCATTCAATTCAAAAAAAAAAAAAAACTCTCTACATATCTATTACTTCTACGCTAACTAGAGAGGGAGATTATTGCTCTAAAGTTATTAGGATGGAGGAAGTAAAGAAGAGGGATTGTATGGAGAAGGCAAGGCCATTCATTTCAATGGTAGTGTTGCAAGTAGGGCTAGCAGGAATGGATATTCTCTCAAAGGCTGTCCTAAACAAAGGCATGAGTAATTACGTTCTTGTTGTTTACCGTCACGCCGTTGCAACTGTCGTTATGGCTCCGTTCGCCTTATATTTCGACAAGTACTGTCTACTTTCCTTTCTCTCTACGTATATATCAACTTCTCTCATAAACATAAGCCAATGTTTTGTTTGAGTAGATTCAAGACTATGTACAGAATATCAATCTAGTTTAGTATATACTGAAAAAAATGAGTTTGCATTAGCCTAGGATTCTTATTTTTGGTTTGTGTTTCCATGTTGTGCAAACGCAAAAGAAAATAATTATGACCATATTTTACAAAGCGGGCTATATATCAAAAACATTAAAGATCACAATATATATTATTGAGTAATTTTTTATTTTATTTTTGTTGGTGGTGCTTGGACGTTAGTGTGTTGAAACTTGAAAAGATGAGAGTAGCAAAAAGAAAGAATGAGGCTTTTGACGTAATATATGATAAGAAAGGGTCACTCATATGTTAAAAGACAAAAATAATTGTAACCGTTTTATATTTTGGTTTTTTCTGTGGTTTCTGCCAATGTCATGCACTGAATGTGAGTCCTTTACTTTTTTTTAGTGTTGTTTCTCTTTACAAAAAGATACACTAATTCAATAATTTCGTGCGTAATCAAAAAGTTGGTATATATGCTTCCGTAATTATGAGTTTATGACTTTAATCCAGTAATATTTACACAGGTTTGTACGTAACTAATTTGAAATGAATCTAGTCAGATATCCATAGAGAATATATGTCCTAATGATCAATTTTCCCTCTTTTATTAAAATTTTCTCTTAGTTTAGATGATTCTCAAATACGACGTGCTAATGTAATTTATGATGTAAAACAAAACAGGAAGGTGAGGCCGAAGATGACACTGATGATATTCTTCAAGATATCACTCCTTGGTTTACTCGAGTAATATTTTCTTTTCCTTCATCTTCATTCTGTTTTAATCTTTCAAACTTGAATCTGACAAATTTTTGTATCTTGTCATAACAGGCCAGTGATCGACCAGAACTTGTACTATCTCGGGATGAAATATACGACGGCTACATTTGCAACAGCCATGTACAACGTCCTACCTGCAATCACTTTCGTCCTCGCCTATATATTTGGCCTCGAAAGAGTAAAGCTACGGTGCATTAGGAGCGCTGGTAAGGTGGTTGGGACATTGGCTACTGTTGGAGGAGCCATGATCATGACACTTGTCAAAGGCCCAGTTCTCGACCTCTTTTGGACCAAAGGAGTCTCTGCACATAACACAGCTGGGACCGACATTCATAGCGCCATCAAAGGCGCAGTATTGGTCACAATTGGTTGTTTTAGCTATGCATGTTTCATGATTCTCCAAGTAAGGCGAATTTTTTTATATATAAAAAATACACTTATGGAACAATTTTGACGATGAATCAATGTTTTTCAGGCGATAACATTAAGGACTTACCCCGCTGAGCTCTCTCTCACAGCATGGATATGCCTTATGGGGACAATAGAAGGAACCGCCGTGGCATTAGTGATGGAGAAAGGAAATCCCGGCGCATGGGCCATTGGTTGGGACACTAAACTTCTTACAGCCACCTATAGTGTAAGCATACATATCTCAGTATACTAGTGATCAGGGCCGGCCCAAGGCTAAAGCCCGTAAAGCATGGACTTTAGGCATCAAATGTCTATAAAACAATTTAGGGGCATCATTTTACAAACATTTATTGTGGTACAGTGGTTAATTCCTCCATTCTCTCATCAAAGGTGCTGAGTTCGAGTCCTTTTAGTGTACTATGTATATAAATTTTGTTTTAATTATGTATAAGGATAGACCAAAAATTTTTTTTGCTTTAGGCAGCAATTTACCTTGGGCCGGGCCTGCTAGTGATTTAGGGACTACACCATCTATGTCAATAACTTAAAATTGTTGGAATATATAATGTATGCAGGGGATAGTGTGCTCAGCACTGGCTTACTACGTTGGAGGAGTGGTGATGAAAACAAGAGGTCCTGTGTTTGTGACAGCTTTCAGTCCTCTTTGTATGATCATAGTAGCGATTATGTCGACCATCATCTTTGCTGAGCAAATGTATCTTGGAAGGTAAGCAAGACACAAACAACAACATCTAAGACGAGTTTTAAATACCAAGATTGAAAGAAGGGTAATAAAAAATATTCTTTAATTTGTGGCAGGGTTCTTGGTGCGGTAGTTATATGTGCAGGATTATACCTTGTGATATGGGGCAAAGGCAAAGATTACAAATATAACTCCACACTGCAGTTAGATGACGAATCAGCACAACCAAAGATAGAACTAAGTGGGAAGGATAATGTTGATCATGAAGTCATTACTATAAGCAAGCAAGGAGAACAAAGAAGAACAGTTGTAGAAACAGTCTAACTTAACAGTATCGGCACAAATGTTTTTTCATGGAGGAGTGACGTATAGCAGTTTCATTTGTTGTCCACTATGTTTCAGAGCAACAATATCATAGAATTGCTAACTACCATGGGAGAAAAATAATTGTCTAATTAAGAGGAACAGAGATGCAAAAAAAATGATGAAATTATTGGATTCATGCAATAATACACAATGAATATGATCATTGCAGTTGTATTGGCTACACCAAAAGTTGTGACAATATTCCAGAGAATAAATATCGACTATTTGGGACAATGATATCGGTGAATAGGCGGTTTAGTTCTCTGGTATGTGGTCTATTTTGAGTCAAATTAATATGAACAGAAGATGACACCGATGATATTCTTCAAAATAGCTCTTCTTGGTTTATTAGAGTAATTTTTTTTTTCTTCGAATTCTTTCAATTAATTATTTTCTATCAGACAACTCTCTTCTTTTATCGACTGAATCTGATTTATTTTCCATTGTATTTTGCGTATAAATAGTCCAGTGATTGCTCAAAACTTATTCAATCTGGGGATGAAATACACGACAGCTACATTTGCAATTGCCTTGTACAACACTTTACCTGCGGTCACGTTCATCCTCGCCTTAATATTCAGGCTCGAAAGTGTGAAGCTTCAAAGTATCAGGAGTGCAACTAAGGTGGTGGGAACAGTGACTACAGTTGGAGGAATCATGGTCATGACACTTTTAAAAGGTCCAGCTCTTGACCTCTTCTGGACTAAAGGACCCTCTGAACAGAACACAGTTGGGACCGATATTCATAGCTCCATCAAAGGCGCAGGTTTAGTCACAATTGGTTGTTTCAGCTATGCATGTTTCATGATCCTACAAGTAAGGCTATTTTCGAAAAAATATTAAAAAATATACTTGTGGATCCATTTGGACTATGAATCAAATGCTTTTTTTAGGCAATCACATTGAAGACTTACCCGGCAGAGCTCTCTCTCGCAACATGGATATGCCTAATGGGTACAATAGAGGGAGCAGTTATAACATTAGTGATGGAGAAAGGAAATCATAGCGCGTGGGCCATTGGTTGGGACACTAAACTTCTTACAGTCACCTATAGTGTAAGATTTAGACTTACAATAAAGTAATGCTTTTGAAACTAGCTTGTAGGTTATATCTTATAAAAGTCAAATTGTTTTGAACATAAAAATTCATGCAGAGGATAGTGTGCTCAGCGCTTGGTTACTACGTTGGAGGAGTGGTGATGAAAACCAGAGGTCCTGTGTTTGTAACAGCTTTCAAACCTCTTTGTATGATCGTAGTGGCGATTATGTCGAGCATCATCTTTGCTGAGCAGATGTACCTAGGAAGGTATGTAAAGACACTGAAACACCATCCATGAGTTAGATAATCTTGATAGAAAGGAAAATAATGAAGAGATCTTGTTCTTTGGCAGGGCTCTTGGTGCGGCGGTTATATGTGTAGGTCTATACCTTGTGATATGGGGCAAAGGCAAAGATTATGAATATCCTAGCACGCCCCAAATAGATGATAATTAACTTAGCACAAGCAAACACTATCCTGATCGGAAATGGGAAGGATAGTGTTGATCATGAAGTCATTACTATAAGCAAGCAAAATGAACAAAGAAGAACACTGATAGATTAATCAGTCTAACTTAACAATCACGGCCCAAATGTTTAGCATGGATGAGCCATAACGTATACCAGCTATATATGTTGTCCACTATTTTGCAGAGCAATTGATGAATAGAATCACTAGCTGCAGTATGGGAGAAAAAAAAAAGGGAAAAGTCATAGACTCATAAAGATGCAAAAAAAAAAAAAAAGGAAATTTTTTATGAACTGTTGGATTCATGGAATACACAATGAATATGATTATCAAGGTGTATTGGATACACCCAAATTGTTTTCGTTCATCTCTTTTCTATAACTTACATCTTTCACTAAGACAAACCAAATTCCTGTTACAAATCATTGATTATGGACTTTATGCATCCATAGTTTGGGCCGTTTGCGGGGATATGATAGTCTCGGTGAATGACACTTCTAGAGAAAGAGGCTCTAGTGATTTGGGTTTTGCAAGTTTGGGTTTATGATGTAGTTCGTCTTTTTCAATTTTACTTTTATATATATATATATAAACAAAAGCAAAAGCTTTATATTCCACTTAATTTATAAACAAAGTCAAAAACTAATCTACACAATTCGATCTAAACCAAAACTTAGCTAATAGAGGGAAACAAGGAAAAAAGGTAACCCAATATTAAAATAATTTAAACAATCCTGCTTTTGCCAAATTTGAAAGCTCCATTGTCCAATCCTAGGAATCCATGTGTCGTCTCTTCTTTGTCAACATGAAAACATCCAAAAAGAAATAGAAAGAAAAAAACAAAAGAAAATTAGGAAGCAGACGATATAAGTCTAGGTAGTGTGTCTATACAACTCTGTGCACGCGTGAGCAATATCTCTTCAGCTTGAACTTTCCCGTGGCACGTATAAGGCAATACCGGGTTGGGACGATGATTTTGGTTAACCGGTTTAGTTTTACGGTTCGATTGATTCTGAGTCAAGTCAATATGTACCGAAAATAGAGATTGAACCGGTCGATGGTCCGAGAATTTCGACTCTCCCCTCACGTACCAAAGTTGTTTCATTCCGTCACCTTTCCACAATATCCGATCACACCTGAAATAAATGATTTTGAAAACAACATTAGAAAAATAACGTTTAAGATCATCATTATAAAATATTTAGTGCATGTTAATTATCTTACCAAGCCGGAGTTCTTCGCTTTTCCTTTGATTTTTCGGCTTGGACAACGTAATTATCAGAGTTTATTCGATATTTATACGTTGGTGCGAAATAAATCTTTCCTTCTTCCCATCCCTTAAAAATCCTACCAGCTCTTTGTTCTATCTTAAGCTGCAAATAGAAAAAGAAATAAACATGTTTTAGTTTAACTACTCTTATATAAGCAATCATAAAAATAACTAATCAATTTTAAATTAAAATTATACTAACCTGATCTTTCTCTAGAAGTGCTTCCCAATCATGGTTTCTAAGCTGTTCATGCACGTCACTGCTCGCCCTTAGCCGATAATTCAAATCTCCGAGCCATATTACTTTACTGTAACATAACCAACGTGATAAAACGATTAAACCATGAAACTTCATATTTAAAAAAAAAGTTATACGAACATTTTTATAGACTTACTCATGGTCCATTATTGTCTCCGGTCGAGAATCTTTAGAAGAACGTGAAAATCTTGTCCTCTTAAATATTTCGGACACATCTAAGTTTCTTCTGAGCTCGTCGCCTTCTTTTTCTCCAGACGTAAGATGCGTACAAACGAAGCATAAACTTGTTTCATGCAACGACATGCTGATCGATACCGAGCCCTACACAAGGTTATACATCGTTAGCTACCAAGCATAAATATACACGTTTATCAAAATATCTTAGAATCAGTTTTATTGAAACGTATATGCAAATTTTGGACTAACCTTGTTTCCAAGATATCCCATGATACCACGGCCAACACATGAAACCTTGAGGTTGGTTATGCGTTTCCGGAGATCATCTCTAACCCACACACACAAAAATATCCCCACCATCTGTTTACTCGCCGCAAGGCTATACCCACGAGGAGGAGTCGAATTGCATGGAATTATTCGGTTATCATCTGAGAGACCCGAGAAGCTGAAACGGGGCTGTTGTGATGATTTCGTAAGTTCGAAGGAGGTGCTTTGATTTTTAACAAGTTCGAGCTCATTTTGAGCTAAGTCGTTGTTGTTGTTCAAGGCTTCTCGGATAAGAGACAACCACTTAGCCGCAGGACCATTATCCTCTGCTCCAAGTACGTTACCGGCATTTAACGGCACGATTTCTTGAAACCTAAACAAAACAAAGTATTGATGTTATAATTAGTCCAAAAATATATATTAAAAGTACGTGACCACTAATTAATATGATTATATGCATACCCTAGCACGTAAATGTCGGCATCGGCGGGAGATTTAAGCCAATCTTTTAAGTCTAATCCTTCATGTGGCGACTTCCCTCCCACGTTCCATGTCCCCACAAACATTCTAATCATCAACAATTAAAAAAATTACAACGTTAATGATCATAGCTAATTATAGTCCAAAGCTAAATTATAAGGATACAAAATAATTTATAGGTTAATCATGAAAGTATTTATTACTTAAGATCAAGTTTGTCATCAAGGCGTGTCACATGTTGATCACCGGTTGAATGTTTTAAATCCCCATTTCCTTGGCCCAACCAACCTATTTCAACCACAAAACATAAACAAAACCAATTAATTACGCATACTTAATTAGTATATTTCAGACTATTATAATCAGACAGAGATATTATGTGGATAAAACAAAAACTGGTGAATTGTGAGAGTAGCAAGTCCACCTAAAACCAAAGACTTTTTTTAACTTATCGCCTAAGCCTAATCTCTCACCCTACACGTGGAGAGAGATGATACAACTAATCTCTATTTATCACTTTTAAAACATGATTTTCAAGAGAATATCTCAGTTAATATTTGCCGTCGTTTTTAACACAGATGTCTAATCCTATGGCTAAAGATGGACCCAAAGCTTTATGTTGTACGGATACTGTCTCAGTTAAAGTACGGTTAACGGACAATAGATACGACGCCGTTTTCGATGCAACAAAACAACGGACAATAGATACGACGCCGTTTTCGATGCAACAAAACAATATACTAAATAAAACTCATGAACTGTTATTATAATTTTACCTGGAAAATCTTCCGGCACGATCATGTCGGAGCAGCTTTTTCGCCTCGGCTCCATCCTCCCTTGAAAAACAAAAATAACTCCGCTAAGTTAGACGAGAATATTAAGAAAACGGCAAGAAGTTCTTGGAAAAAAAATCCAAAACGGCAAGAAGTTAATCTCTCACCTTTGACTGGGTAATCAGAGTGAAATTCGTAAGAGCCGCTACGTAGGTTTAGCCACTTCCTCACGACGGTTCTTGGCCAAGAAGACTGTAAAACGCAGCCGTTTTTTAGCAAAGATAATAAGAGTAATAAATTTAGGAGACTAAAAAACGTCATGTAGTTTCAAGAACGTACCTTAGATTTCAAGATCTTCCCCATATTTGTGAATAGAACGTCCTGCCGTTTTTTCCGCCACCGTTGTTTGTAAAAGTCTAGAACCACAATCTAGAGGATTATAAAGGATGAGGATCTGGAAATTAAGAGGTAAGCAAGATATTAGTATGCGTAAATGAAAGCGAAATTAATGAAAAATAATGACGAATAATATTTATTAAGCAATTTGGTCCAATCAACAAGCAAGAAAGACAGAAATTAAAATGTAAAATAAGAAAACGAAGACAAAAATTGAACCAAAAATAATACTACTAGTAGCTAAGAAATTCAACGGGAAATATATAAAAACTCCTAGTTGCAGGAGAATTGGAGACAGATATTTTAAAATCTAGAAAAATGATTAATTAGAGGCTCTTAATTAAGGAGAATTTTATAACAATCATGTTGGAGTACATGTCATGAAGCGGAACTATCCAGATGCTTCCTTTACAAAGAGGTAAAACAGAGACTAACATTTTGTATAAGAAACAAAACAGAGACCAAGAGTCTTAATTAAGGAGAATCAATAAAAAGCATGTTCGAAAATTTAATTAAGACATGTCATGAAGGAGTATTAATAAAAAGCATGTTCGAAATTTTAATCAATGATACGGAAGAAACCTTGTTCTTCCTTTACGATGTAAAAGCTTAACCTTTAAGAGAGGAAAAAAACAGAGTTTATAGAAACAAAGACTAAACCAAAATTGAAACTTTGTTTCTTGCTTTCGAAATAAAAGCTAATTATACGAAAATATAAGCCTACCCATCTTTGAATTAGGAAGGTGCAATAACGAGATCGATTTGATATTTCTGATTGATGAGAGAAAGGATATAAAATGGAAAGTATTTATTTGAAATAACTTTTTTTTTCTGTGGCATGGTGTTAAAGGAGAAAATAAGTAAACAGAGCTTTCATGAAGACATAAAACAGAGCAAGTAACGAACAAGAAGGAACGAGGAAAATTAAAGCGACGACATTAGTGAGTTCAAACTATAAACAGTCTTGTCCGAAAACGACGACTTCGTCAAGGAACAAATAAGTTATTACAGAGTTAGTAGCAGACTTGAAGGGAAAAGTATTACTTACATGAGTATAAATTATACAAAAGAAGGTTTTGTGAACGAAAATGGAGAAGGGCCAGTTTAAAATTTTAAGGAGATGAAAGAAACTTGTGAGGGTGAGAGAGAAAAGTTGTGAAGGATGAAGAGAAACGTTGTGCACTTATACGGCTGTAAAATGGAATTTATAAAAGTTGTGTTATGTGTGAGGTGGACTCATTGGACCAATATTTTATGTGTGATATTTTTAGTATTTAATGATACTTTACATTACCTAGGCAAGGTTATTAAAATGTGAATTAGGATGGGATGGTTAGTAGTCGAAAGTTATGGTAATCTTGTTAATTATAGAAGGGTTGTGGAAAAAGGAAGTTATACGATTTTTATTTTCTTTGTAATCTCATAACATGAAATTATTTTGGAGTACATGCATTAGCGTTACATTTTCCAACGATTTGAAAATTCCGGGTCAACTCCTTGGCATCTCTCAAATGAATCCTTTTGTATGGTTGACTTCTCGAGCAAGTTTCACATTGAGCCCACGGTTTTGTCATAACATTGAAATTATGAGTATAATCAAAACAAGCAGGATTTAATTACAATAATCAAATTAACAAATAACGTAACTTACGACTGAATTATGAACTCAACTATTCAATCGTCTCTCCAATATTTCTTTAAAACTTAAAAAATATACATTTAATCTCCTTCAAAAATAGAGACATAAAAGAAATGTGAATGACACAATCACCTTTTTAGCACAGTGTTACATGTACTACATTTTAAGTCTTACCAAATTTGGAGCTTTAAATACTATTGAATCTTTATTTGAAATTTTGTTTCTTTTTTTCTAATTTGGTTATGATATTTAATACTAGCAACATACATTTACACCTATTTTCCTTAAAACAAAAAAGAAGATGCTTTTCCGGGGAAAAAAAAGGTTTTCTGACGTGGAAATACTGCAAATCATACTGCAATTGGCAGAGTTGACACATACCGTACAAATGTCTTGGTCAAATCAGTTAAGTTCTTTTGAAAACGTGTACTATTTTGCTTTTATCTTCAAACTTGTTAATTTTCCCATATATATATATATAAAGAAAACAAAAACAAACCAATTATATACTTATTATTCACATTTTTCTGCCATGAAAATGTATAAATACAATCATTAATTAGTTGGACAATCAAAAACGAATTAAACTGCATTTATTATGAAATACTAATCTAATTCAGTACTTTGAAGAAATGAATCATTGTACTATCCTAAAAGAATGGAGAAGTTCGCTACGCATTATGGGATTATTCACATGCTTCAAAAATGTAAAAGGGCAGCAATCTTAAGAAATTATCGGTTTAAGCCAATCTTTACACAGTTTACACACAATAGACAAAGACAAACTTATTGGATACTTTTTTCATGAATGTTTAGTTAATATATATATAGACTTCTGCAATCTGCACCATTGGATAAAACGTTACTGATTTCCTTGAACGTTTTAAACATTTTCTTGTTTATTATATAGATTTTTATTAGAGCCATCAGCCATCTATATACAGACGCCTATATGTGTGTGTGATAAAAAAAAAAACCTCGGAAAAATTGAACTTTTGAAGAGCTCTTTTTTGACTAACCCACAAAAACCTACGAATCGTCATCGTGCTTAACACTCGGACATGTGTTCCAACTCCTTTATTATTCTAGTCTTCGTACAAATCAGAATTCCACAAACATGCATTTAAATATAATTAATAACCAACTAATCACATAATCTTAGACGACACGTCCTGATTTATCTACGGTATTAACGCAACATATATAGATCAGGTAGGTTAAATTCTCGCATTTATTGATCTCCTGTCTCTCTCACCATGGATATGATCTTATCGATCCATTTACAAGGAGAGATGAAGATCCATGTTCCCCGATGTATTAACAATTATTAATTTCTCTTCTAAAGCTAATTAACTTATTAAGCTAATTGTTCTTTCGGAGTTTTAGATGTTTGACTAATCCAAGAAGCTTCCAATGTGCATAATTTTTATCGCTTATATATTCCTCTTTGGAGTAAACTATGAAAAGTGTTTAACATTTTGCAACTGTGGCTTATTTTTACGGGTCTGCGTAGATTAATGAAATAATGCGGGCGACCTAACATGCACGTCGGATTTACAAACGACAAGTAATGTTTCATTATCTCAAATCTCTTGATACTGATCAGGTCATATTTATCCATATTTCGTTTCTGAGGATTTGATTATCGTATATAAGTCAATAGTATTAACATATACATTTTATGATGTTATCCGTGAATTTAAGCCGTTCGATGAAAAAATATAAAATGACGTGAACATTCTAATATCTATTAAAGATGTACTATACATATTTGATGCAGCGTCATCTATGATACATGGGCTTTTATTTTGGGCTTTTAATTAGTATATACGTTTATGTTTTTAGATTAGGGTTTTTGTTTATGAACGCCTTATATAAGGCTTAGATTATGCGTTAAGAATGGAACTTTTGATTATTGAATAAACTAGTTTTAAGAGAGCTTTTTGTGTAAAGCCTAGAGAGGAGGACTCTCAACCCTAAGAGCTTGTGTTCAAACCCTGCAAGGAGGACTTGCAAAACCTAGTCGATATCGTTCCCTTGAACCGATCTCGACCCTATCCCTATTGCTTCTTTGTCAAGTTTTCGACGTTCTAAGCAAGATCCATTTGTGAATTCGAGTTCTCTTGGAGATCTTGTGTTCTCATCTGTTAATTAGCTTCCGCTCTCTATCAGTTGGTATCAGATTCATCTCGTTCCTGGTGGTTTGATTCCCTTACAACGATGTCTTTGAAAGACATGAGATGGGAGAACAATTTTAAGTTGGATATTCCCAAGTTCCACGGTGGAATTTCTAGTGATTCGTTCCTAGATTGGCTCGTGGATGTTGAAGAAATTTTGGAGTTTCAAAGCGTTTCAGAAGATCAATTGGTTTCGCTCGTGGTTAAGAAATTTCGAGGACACGCAGCATCATGGTGGCATCAAGTGAAGACAAAACGCAAGCAAGCTGGTAAGAGTCCTATTAAATCCTGGACTAAACTAAAGCAGAAGCTATCCGCAACCTTTTTACCTCCTCACTACGGTAGTTTGGTGTATAGTCGTCGTTTGCAAAATATGAAACAAAGAACACGATTTGTAGATGATTATGTGGAGGATTGTCACGTTCAAGTCAACGACTTCGTGGAGAAGCCTGCTTATGGTATTGATGATAATGAGTTAATTACTACGAAACCCCACGGTTATGATGCTTCAATATTTGATGTTGAAGATGATATAGATCGTGATGCGTATGATGATCTAATTCAAGACGAAGACAACAAATTGTTTGTTCAAGAAGTAAAAGGTCCAAAAGTGGAGGATTTGAATTTCGATATCAAAGATAACGAAGACGGTGATGTTGTTGATGTGGCAGACAATGACGACGTGGAAGCCAAAGAAGATGATGTTATGGACTTTGAAAATGATGACATCATTGTCTATATTGAAACCGGCGATGATTTTGTCAACACAGACGTGAACGATGAAGACAGCACCTTGGCAAATAGAATCAATGTTTCAAATGTTTTTGCAGCTATTTTTGAAGATTGTGATTCACAGGATGATCCACGTCAAGACGAAGGCTCTAGTTTTGATGTTACAAAAGTGGGCGATCTAGTTGATAATGTTAATCCCATAGTTGTCTTCTCTGATGGCTTTTCTCCGGTTCATGATGGTTGTTTAGAAGACGTCAACAACATAGATGTCATCAGGAATCAAGTGGTGGAATACTCAAGACTTTCAACAATTAAATATGAACTAGTCATCACTATTCTTGACAAGGAGGAAGAAGATTCATATATGGATAAGGAAACCCATAAGTATTCTATTTATCTTGCACATCGTCATCAGAAAATCAATGGCGAACCTCCAGATCGTGGTCGAAGCGTGATTTTATTTTTTCACGGTGAGTTAGATC